TGCTCCGCCTTTTGATTCTCCACCGCTTTTTGGGCAGCCAAAATTTGCAGGATGTTGAATTTGATTTTGTCTTTCGAATTTACACTTGCACGTGGTGAATTGCGTTACTGACCGCAAACGCACTTGCAGTACAGAAGGCCTTCCACACTTCCGCAAATTGCAGTACAGCAGGCGCATAGGCCTGGCCTTTCAAGCTGAGGGGCGTTCCTGTTAATATAAGTCTTTTTCATGTTTTTTTCCTCCAGCAGGGCGGCCAGCTGCCACAACGAAGCTGCTTGGTAATCAACCCTAAGACGCTTGCAGACACCCTTGCAACATCCTCAGGCCTCGCGGTTGGAGTTCGACAAGTTCATGGCAAAGCCAATGCCCGGGAGAATGCATATCAAAGCAGTTGAACGTGGCACGAGAGAATGCGTATCAAAGCAGCTGAACGTGGCACGAGGGAACGAGTGTACCATGAAACGACGGAGACTCTGCGAAACATACCGTGATTGCCACCTTTAGTTGCATCAAGAGAAAAAACGTGTTTTGCCTTTCAATTAAGGTGGGGTGTAAAAAAGGCCCCTGCCAAGGAGGCTGACGCAGGAGCAGCCATTCAGTTTAACTGTCGGGCCGGCCGCCGGAGACGTGCGTGCCATACATGAGCAGGACCACAAGCACCCCTTCTCATGGGCTCCGCATGGGGTTCCTTGGTCGCGCGGCCCGCGTTCCCCCCCAAACAAAAAACCCTGCACTTATAGAGACAGAACGTGTCAGATATGGATATATATATGTAATTTTTTTCGTTGGTGCTTTCAGCCGGGGTTATGCCTTACTCCCCTTGACTCTGGCTGGTTTTTGTTGGGTTCGTGTGGAAAGCGGCGGAGGTCTCAACGGAGGTCTCAACCAACTGACCAGGCTGCCCAAAAAACATTCATGCACCACATGAAGGATCTGGCGCAAATCTCTGGCAAGAACTGCGTTCAAACATGTTCACTCATATGCAGGAAAAACAATATACAGTTGTTATTACAGCAAAAATGTGTAAACAAATACTGCCGGATATGTTTATCCTTCAACACCAACTAGCACACTTCTCCATTCAAGCCGCCCCCTGCTTCAAACAAAAGCGCCCGTGCTTAGCCTTTTGCAATCCGAAGGGTTTAATAGTTGTAGGCCCAGCTCTTGGCACCAATGCCATCACTATTTAAACACAACACAGTCAACTAACCTGTTATAATTTCTGTCAGCAACCCAAAAACCACATGTTTCAGTTGAACACATCCTCTTCACACAACAAGCCCCCCCCACGTCTATAGTCAAGGGGGGCGTGGTCAAACCCCAGCTGCATGCACCAAAAACAACTTAATGCAAACAGTTTCAACCATGTAGTGCTCAGGTTTTAGCAAACCTGTCAGTTCAAGTTCCCCCTTGCACTCCCATGAGCCCACCCAAACCTATAGCGTGTGTATGTGCAAAAATGGAAAAATGCATAAGAATGTTCCTTAGGGAATTGGTGGGGTTAAGCTTGCTATATACATTGTAGGGTTGTTTTCCAAAAAAAACAATGTTTTTTTTTTTTGCTCTGGCCTGGGGTTGCGCCCTCCCATGGCCCTGGATTTGTGCCCAAAGGGCCGTGTTGGTCTCACATCGGTGTCACCTCACCATTTCAACGTTTCAGCCACCAGAAAGGAGAGCGTGTACGCCCGCGGGGGATCAAAAAAAAAACATTGCCCTTCGCATTTCCCCAGTTCAGCATAGATGATTGCATGCAAATTCCAAATCGCATTTTTCATTTTACCAAATTATTGCAAAGACCACTTTTGGTGTGTTTTGATACCAAGTTTGCCAATTATCCAATGTGCTCTCCGATGCCCTCTCCGGTGGGTTTTGCTACGACGTGTCAGTTCAATTTTTTCCTCTCCCAGAGTTTGCTGCCAAAGTTGAGTTTGTTCAAACCAAAAGATTCATGGAGGGGTTGCACGGGCCACTTTACAACGATAACCCCAGAAAAGGCTAGAGACAAAGACCAGAATCCGGACAAAAACATCCTGCCGGGCCCGTTTCCCCGCGTGCGGCTGAAGACATTTGTAAAGACTTCACGTGGTCAATGATGACGAATGTCCGGTGTGTGACCGTGTTTTGCATTGGTGTGAAAGGTTTGTTGCCGCATGTAGTACATGAAAATAACTGAACAATCGTTGCGATTTTGACATCACAATCTGTGGGACAAAACATCTGACCAACTTCGTCAGAAGATCGCTATTCTGGTGCCAGCGCCGTTGCCACTTTGAATGAACTTCATGATGTTTGGGTTTCTACCGTCACCCTTACGTGAACGCAAGCTAGTGGGACCGACTCAAGCATCTCAAGCACCTGACAAACCTCCGAACGGAAAAATTTCGGAATGAACAAACAAACAGTCGGCAACCACCAAGCCAAGTTTCCATGCGTCGACGTCTTTAAAAAAAAATTGGCACACCCCGACCACCTGTGCGTATCGGCCTGTGTGTGTGTGTGTTTCGCTTTATCTTCGTATGCACTATGACTGCACTGAACATGCAACGTCTTTAGCCCCTCACCCAACCCCTCCACCCCTTCTTCCACAGCGTGTGCGTGTATGGCTTCCTGATAAAATGCACACAACATGAACGTCAACCCCCTCCCCCCCTAACCCCCCGTGTCCCCATCTTCCATATTCCAATGCATGTGTTTGTGTGTGTTCTTGCCCCCCAAAAAACTGTATGAAAAATCAGTTTCACTACACGCGCGGCTTTAAGCCCATTAGCAAAAACACGTTCCACAAAATGCACGTTTTTTTTGGGGGGGGGGAAAGGTGGAAACCAGAGATCTTGGAGACGAACCTGATGTTCACCTTTGCGACGCCACGCGATTCAAAATTGTTTATTTATTGTTGCGTTTTCCTGGCCTGAACTCGAACCTCGGTCCCTCAAATTTATCCACATGATCGGGTTGAGAAAGGGTCAGTCCCCCCCAAAAATCCGGGTACAGACCCTGGGTCCCAGTAGAACCGAGTATATTTCAGAGGCCACCAGCCACGCAGGCGAATGCTTTCATATTTAGAGGAATTGTTTAAGAGCTTCAAGGGAAATGTTCGGAATTGGGTGAAGGATGCACGAATCTGCTTGGTGGAAGCTGTATCCTGCAAGGGAGTGCTTGAGCAATGAGAAAAAAAAAGTCAAGTTTTTCATAAAACTTATGTCAAGTGATTCAAGTGGGCTATTTCATCACTATGTCCCAAGTGCAACGCAAGTTGTTTTAATGCCTGTGTCCATGCAGAGACACGCTGTTTGTAGCGATTCTGGAGCAATAACATAGCCGTCGGCAATCAGCAGGGTAATGAGCTGCAACTGCATAGCTGTGGTGGGGTCCCTCGTTGTACATTTACCGGTCAATGTTTTTTTCCTGCGGTTGGAAAAAGGGCGACGTCCATTCCACCAGGCTGCCACGTTCACGCCCGCCCATGTTCGGACACTTTAACACAGTTGACACGCAGCTGACGATTGTGATGGTGGCTTCAAAAAGGCTAGCATGTTGGGAACTGATGTGCCATGATTTCGAGGTTGGTTCCAACTCCCTCGTTGACAAGCTGCCCTTCTGTAAGCCCCAACCGGCCGCAGAGTTAAACATATTGAAAAATTATCCTCGTCATTTTCCCTTCCCCGTCGGACCAGCTCCACTCCATGTCGAACTGCCACTGTGTTCACGTTTTTTTTTTGCAACCACCTCAGTTTTTGCTGTGGTCATGCTAAGGGTTACTTTGTTTTTTTAATTTTGTTGGTGCTCATCTGGGCTGTAAAAATGCGTAAGTTTGTATCATTCCAAGTGCCGTCAGGGCCATCCAATGATTGATGTTAAAATTGTTTCTTTGTTGAACATCCATGCGAACACTACAAAAAAATAGGCAGTGTTTGTTGTGAAAAGTTGCCCTGTATTCTTTGGAAGAAATAGTTAGGTAGCACACGCGTACCACTGACATGTTTTTTGATATATCATGTGTTTTGCCGGCACCCCTTTCCGAAACCATGTCGACTGTCACTAGACGACTCGGCAAATGTTGAAGTAAATAGTCTTCTATGGACAGTACATTACACCCCCAGAGCACGGACAATGTAGATGCTTTTTGCGTACGGCTCGCGTAAACTCTGGTACTCCACGTAAGCACCGCGTAAAGGCGTAAAGACAATGTTCATTGATTCTTGAACAATTGCCCGCTCATTGCCCCAAAACAGGGGTATTTTTTCACAATTTCCAAGCGAAACAGCATGCAAGTGCCAGAGTAAGGCCAACACTGCGTGAAAATGGTCGCTTTCTGCTGTGTGTGTATGTGCCTGTGCTGTCATCAAAGCATCTTCGCGTAAGTTTTTCCCTCCGAGGGGCGTGTGGAAATTTGAATGCACTGCTGTCGCGTAGGCCTGCCGTAAGCCCTCTCTAAAACAAACCAGCCGCGCAAACTTAAACTGTGCACGCGCAAGGACAGTTTTGGAGTGGTTTGTTGTCAAGCCCCTCCCCTGATCAACGCGCAAATTGCCCGCAGTTTATACAATTCGCCGAGGAGTGTTACAATGTCGTCACTGTGCGAGAGGGCCTGTATCTCGTGGCTGGCCGCACCCAAACCATGGACGTCTAAAGCCCGTAATTGGACTTATATAGAGGCTCCTCGGCTTGGATGCGTTGTTTGTGTCATGGGGTCTATGCAAAGCAACACGCATGGAACACTGGATGAACTAGGGCTAGGAGGTGGTTGGGTTTCTTTTGAGAAGTGGTGGTCGCGGCAACGGCGGTTCTTTTGCCCACCATTTGAAATCATATTGTTTCGGTGGCATTGTGCATTTTTATATGCGCCTCCTTTCGTATGTTTGTGCGGTGTTTGCCCTGTACTAAACCAAAGGTTCTAGAAAAACCGCGTTCATTTTGAATGGCGTGAATGACGTGTTGCAAATCCAGATGGCCCTGCAGCAGTGGACGGTCTTGACACTGAATGCTCAAATGTTGGGGGGAGCTTGGCTCAAAAAGACGCCATGGCTGGGTAGCAGTCCAAGATCATGGCGCTGCCACAGCAGCTCCTCCCCAATTTTGTTGCATTGCCTACACCACCGGCTTCCTCGATCCGTCTGGGGCCACCAGTTCCAACGTCGGCCTGTGGTTCACGAGCGCACCTCGCAGCTGGGGTTTCTGCGGCCTCGGCTGTAGTGGTGATTTCAACGGTTTTGGCGGCAAAGAAGGGGAAGGCCAAGAAGAAGCCGGCCAAACCGCGACATTATGGCCCCAAGAAACTCAAGAGTGGACACTTGGTTACGAAGAGCAGACACGTTTGTTTGTGTGAATGGCCACCATGTGCGGAAACATAGAAATTCCTTTGTGTCCGTTTAGAGGTTATTCGCACGTTTGTTTTGGAAACTGGTTGTGCTGAACATAGGCCTTTGCAATGCTGTGAAATGTTGCGGTGTGCCAATTGCCACGTAATTGTCTACTATATCTATATCTGGTTGGTGAATTGAGGTTATTGGCAACAAGGCTTGTCCATCGATGATGACATCAACGTTTTCGAATGGTTCAATGCCGAAGAACTGGAGGATTATCCACCAGCGAAGGTGACCGCCTTCAAGGAGAGGTTTGGTGGAGGGCCGTCCGTCCGTCAACAAAGAAGGTAGTACATTTTGTTTTTAATGATTTGTACTCTGTTTTTCTAAGATGTACAATTCTCTGGCGCGGTAGCAAGCGGCCGCCCCACAATATTTTGACAAGCTTCCGGTTCGAGTGATGTCGTTTCACGCGGACGACCCTTTCAGTTGCACGTAGTTCAACATTGGCCGTGGATTTTTGGAACAGAAGAGTTGCAAAATTGCACGTCTGTCATGCAGTTTTTTGCCTGTCTATTTCTTTGATGCCCACCTTCCCATTTTGGAACATTTTGTTCAATTCGGCTCTCCCATCCACTCGTTTCCGGTCAGAAACGGTTTCCCGCGGCAGTTTTTCCCCACAGGAGGTGGCCAAGTTAACTGAGCACCCAGACGGGGAAACCAGCACCTTCGATGCTCCGGAGTACCGGCCGCCGCCGGAGAAGCTACAGCTGGCCAAAGGCTTGGATCTCGGTGTGTGAGGTGGCAGTGGGACCAAACGGTCTGTGGGGCGTCTTCAAGTGGTATTTTGTACAGTATAGCCTCAACTATATAGGGGTTGTGACTGCGAGGTGTGAGCAACCCATCAGGCAAAAGTTTCCCTTCCTCGCCATGTTCCAACCCCCCACCGCCATAAGCATGCTGCATCATACACACAGGGAGTCCATTGACTAATGGACCAGATACAACCCCCCATCAATCCCCAACGCTCCTCGCTGTGCCTCCTCCGCGAGGTTTGAAAGAACCGGCGGAGTTGGACCAGTGCCTGGGGCGTTCCTTCGCCGGTGACATGCAGGATCAGATGGCAGAGTTCGGAACCAGCCACTTGGGTTCCAGAGTTCGGGCCCAAGACCCGGCCCAGTGTCCAAAACTGGACGTCACGGTGCGTGGTGTTTCTTTCATAAAGGGTTGTGATGAATTTTGTGTTTTCGTTGGTGACTACTGGTGAGCGCGGGTGTGGAGGAAAGGTGGCACACAGAATGATGGAGGATATGTGCAGGCTTTCCACTTCAACAATCATCGCATTCTGACGCTGCTGTAGCCATCATAATTTTAAAACGCGCTGGGGAAGCAAGGGGCACTTGGACCGTCGAGACAGCCGGACTGACGACATCAGGCAACGTAGGTGTTTTCCTGTCCCGAGGCTTCTCCATGGAAGACACGGACATCATCATCAGCTTCCAGGTGCAGAAGCCTGTGGATGTCCAATCGACTTTTGTTTGAGGGAGGATGTTTTTGGAGAAACCCTATTCCCGGATTCCGTGCCCTTTTGGCCCCATCGACTGCGCCCTTTTCGAGCTCCCCGTGCCCACGCGGGGCCAGGCCATTTGCACGATGCTTGCCTGGATCGATGGGACTCTGACGGAAGACATGCGCGCCAAAGGCTTGAACACCAGGCGCAACGGGGACGGTGAGGGACACGGTGAGATCAGCGTGGGGTCATCGACCTGGGACTTTTCAAGGTGGAGTGGAGCTCAGGGAGATTTAAACGTACATAAACCGCTTAAGTGGAGTTCGGAATGTTGAATCATGATCAGTTGATTGATGTTCATCCTGACTGAACTGACCAGTTTGACATTTTTCCGGGCATGCTCTCTGCTATCGTTATTGTAAAACATTCATTCTGAACCCTGATTTTTAGATGCTGCTCTTGGTGCCTGGGCTGGAAATTGAAAGCTCTCCTTTGTGGCTGGGGCTGGGAAGTTGAGTGCAATGAACCAGGCGTTACGTCCCGCCGGCCAAAAAGAAGAACGTTTCAGCCCACCCCACAAGAAGTCTTTGTCTAGTTTTGACTGGTTTGGGTACTCTCGCTGGACGACCTTCTGCGCCACTATAAGTTGAGGCTTTTAAAAGGGTGTTTGCGTAGAACTGCATCCTGGTCCCCGTGGTCGCTTGCGGAACCATCCGCGCTGGAACTTGTTCTTCGGGCAGTCTTGCCCAGTGCCGGGCAGGAGGCAAAACCATTCCTTTAGGCATTCCCATTGGCACTTGGACGAATCAGAAGGGAGGAGGTTCGAACGGAACAAAAGACAGATGTTGAAAACGCCGAACTTGGATGAATCAGACCATCTTCTTTCAACTGAAACTGATTCCCCAGGCGGGGCAGTGAGCCCGAGCGTGTGGATCTCTTCCGTGTGGGCCGTCTGCCGGATGCCCCCAACGCCATCTCCATAGGCGACCCGTCGGGATCATCCAAGGTGCTGGAGGAAAAGAGGAACAGGATTTGGCAGGAAAGTCCACCACGCCTTTGGTCTCAATCCCAGGTACAATAAGGTACGCTAGAAAATGGGACATGACTCACATGACACCATTGTGACTAGAAGGGACCAATTACTTGGAAGTGTTTGTTATGCGTTTGCTGGGCCATTGCAGCTGGGGAAGAAGTGGATTTGGAAATGAGGGTGTGAAAGTCGCAGGTGTGTCTGGACTAGTGACTACTGTTGCCCTTGTGGGGGTGAAGATTTCATTATCACTCCCAGATAACAGGTATTATTCCGCATACTGCATACCCTGATTGGAGACACTTTATGTAGGTTTGGGGGGGTCCAACCTTCTTGAGAAAGTGTTTCCCCGTGCGCGAAGTCCACAACACGGGCTTGTCAGTGGGCTTCCCGTATGTCAGTATGTGATGCAGGATGGCCTCCACACTAGCGAAGAAAAAATAGAACATCCGGATAAGAGGGGTTTGGGGTCCTGAGAAGTTCTTCAGGGAGAGAGAGTGCTCAACCTTGATGCCTCCCCAAAAACATTGAGGTTGATGAAGGCAAGGTGCCACTCCAAAAAAAAAACGGATCGCACAACTTTCCCACCACGACTTCCGGTGTAAAACCGTGCTTCGGCGTCAGTTGCCAGGCACAGTCTGGAACTGGGTGCCGGAGAATGCGACGAATGGCACGGCAAACTTCAACAAGAGATCCTACGACGTGAATTTTGAGCGTGTCGTCACCGGTCAGGACACTGTGGCCTGGAGGATGTGTGTTTCGACGCCGCGGCCATCGGTAGCATCGGTCACTCACGCCGCTAAGCCGCTACGCTCTATCGCCGTGTGGGAAAACCCCTGACGATTTTTTGGACGCCCCTGGATGCGGCGTAAGGAACAGAACGAACATAGCGTTTGGACCATTTGTGTGAGGTGTGTGCTTTACCGAAGGGACATGTGCATCCAATGTGTTGCCCCCTGAATTGGCTTCGTCACATGTGACTGGACCCCGAAGTAGTTCACTCTTCGTTCTTCACTTCCAACTTCCGGTTGATCCGATGGCTTCTCTTCCGCTTGGGTTGATCCGATGGCTTCTCTTCCGCTTGGACCTCGTTGCCCAATTGGGCCGTGCCCGAGGTGGATGGACCTCCCTCGATCCGCGAGGTGGATGCCCCGACCCACTACCGCAGCTCGGCGTGTCGGTCTCAGCGACTCCGGATGGTTTTTCCCATCGAAGAAAACAGGTGGCTCAAAGAGAAATGTGAGACATTTGCAGATGTGTAGGGGGTCAAGGGCGGTGGGGGCTCCAGTAGAGGCTCTTATTTTTTGGAGGTCACCAAGGGATGTTCGATGGTGTTGCCGGTTTTAGGCCCACTTGGATGAGTGGTCAACTGCAGGCAGCGCCTCTTAGGTTGGAATTGAACGGTCAGACAAATGGGCCGTTCAACACCGGAAGAGGAAGGAACCAGGCTCCAAAGCGGGAACCCTGGTGAACTAGGTCAACTGCAGAAAAATAAGAACAAATTGAGCAACAACTTCCTGGAAGCAACGTGAATCAACAGGAGCTGATATCAAACATTGTTTTCTCATTACAATCTTTCCTGCATCCGGGGGTCAGTTCCTTTTCCGTCTTCCGGGGGCGTGGGCTGCCGCGTCCTGGAGCTTGAGAAGGTTTTACATCCACGAAAGGTTCATACTGGATCGCATCGGAAGATATGCCCGGTCCCTTGCCCATGTTCCATTGGCATGGTGGAACTGCCAAACAGAAGTGCCTGATTTGTTTTCCCCCATGTTTGTCTACCCCAGTGCAACTCATTCACTGAAGGATGGCTGGCCCCCATGACTCACCAGCAACGAGGCATCTTGAGCTACAACTTGGGTGACCTGAAGCTGGTCGTCCGTGTGCCCATCGCTTGCACCATGCCCACCGTGGATGATGAGGACATGCCACACCCTGGCATGGCCGTGCAGTGCTCGACCGCCAACGCAGCTCGGCAGCATGTGGCGTGTGGGGCTGGGTGGAGCTGGTGGTGAGGGGAGGGGGAGAACTGGCTCAAGGGCTGCACCCAACTTCATTGCTTCTGCCAGAGCATTAAGAGCCTCAACATCAACGTGTTGGGGATTGGCCCTCACGTGCCACATGACCACATACCACGTACCACCTGTGGAAAATGGCGGGATTCAGACGGATGGACGTGCTGCCATGCGCCGTTGGCATGCGCCGTCCCACATCGGTTTGTTCGTCTGTCCCGGCTCAAAGAGTTCGGAGGTGGGAGCCCACGCCATTCACGTGGCCCAGATCATCCTAGTTGACTGAAGAAAGTAGCCACAGGTATTGGCCAGGTGTCCTCTACCAGCCCCCCTGCATTATTGCGTGTTGATTCCAAAATCCACTTCTGGAATTTTATGGAATTTCCTTCGTTGTTGACGTTCTGTTTGCAACCCATGTGCTACAGCCAACCTACGTCCGCGCGTCCGTTGGAGTTCACAGGAGCGTGATGCTGGGGACATTTGGAGCCCCACGCTCGGCACGAAGTACGCAGAGACTTGCCATTAAAGAACAACGTGGGGATGCCTCAAATCCTGAAGCCTCCACCATGTAGCGAACGACCTCCCAGGCAAGTCAGCCAAGGTATCCTGGCCTTTACCCAGCCATGTGTCTCCTTCTTCCCCACCTATTTCTGAAATACCGCAGGGATGAAGGCCAAATATGGCCGGACCAAGCAGGCGGCTAGTCATCCTCAGTATGCTTCGACTTGACTCGCAACCTAGTCCCACAAGACCTGCATCGACGCCTTGTCGAACAGGATGAACATGGCAGAACGAAGGAGCATGCTGTAATCCGCAATGTAGATCACATAGGGCAAGTGGTTACTAGATTTCTGCCAGAGTGGGTTTGTTCAGATTTCCAGTGTCCGTCCGTTTTGACAGGAGTTCCACGCTTTTGTTTCACACAACTACTTGGAACTTGAACAAACCATGAACAAACCGTGCATTTGTTTGCCTTTTGGGTTCGTATCAGGCGAACACACCACCCCAGTCACCCCAAGCAGATATTTCTGTGTGCGCGTTTGGGGTGGTATTCCAGGTAGTGCCAATGTTTTCGACAGCATTTCAGAACCATCACCAAAGATTCATGCCCAGCGATGCATGAATGACTACTGCTTTTTCAGGCATGCAAACTTTCCCAAGCAGTTTGATACTGCTCATCTTTTGTGGAAATGGATGAAAATGGTTTCCACCGGACCAAAACCCACTGAGACACTGAGACTCATGGAAATGCTAGTCATATCAGATCATGTGTTCAACTGCGGTATGGGTATGGCCGGCAACCTTCCTTGAATCGAGTCCTTAACGAAGTGAGGAGATGCAACTGGGAGACGTTGGGATGCTGGTGCGCGGCATCGTCGACCGGGGCTTCCTGGTGGATGCTTTGCTGAGTTAGAAGAGGGAAGAGGGAGGAAGGAAAAGAGCACGAGCACAAGCTACCTCAAACTATTCCTTCTCCTGTGATTGCTGAAAATTCTCGCTAATGGAATTTCTCCACAGGAGCGGACGATCTATATGGAACATGTCCTCTTCTCCCATTCCTTCTGAATTAAGGCCCGATCCCAGATTTGGTAAACTATCTTGGATCAACAATCCTGCCATGCTCTGACTCTCACGTACTAGTAATATATTGATGTCACCTTCAGTCTCACGTCTCCTTTTGGTTGTCAACGCTGTTCGTCGATGAGTTCCGTTGGTCCTGGGCCCACCACCGACGCGTCCGTCCGCGTCAGGACTTGCAGGAACTGACGCAAGAGGATTTCAAGCTGGATCGGCCTTCCTTGGAAGAGGATGCCCAGATATTGATGCTTGGGAAGGCATTGGTTGAATGTTGAATATGGGGTGAGGTTGACAGATGTTTAGGTAGATGTGAGTCGGCTGTCACCAAGTTTGCTGCGGCCTTGATGTATGAAGAAATGATGCAACCCGTGGTAGCCCCCCAAAACTCAAGCTGCATGAGCCCGCAAATGGCATTGGTTTACGCAGTATGTGAGTCATTCACGTTTGAAAACACAATTCTTCGTGGAATATCTCCAAGAAGCTAGGTGTTTGCACTGGCCCTTTGTTAAGATTTTTTTTGGGATATGGAGCACAATCACAGGCAATGGTTGGTTGGCCATGGACCCTGCCCACCTCACAGCTTTTCTCCGCAAACCTGCGCTCGAAATGGATGCGCGGAATTTGCGCTGAAATCCAAGTTTCCTGGTGCCTCGTTAGAGGAGTTTCGAGGCGATCCATCCCATGTCTGAGTTTCTATTCATGCCTGAGGGTATCAATCAGATACATCAGGTACCTGAGTGTGTATGTTCACTATGCATTGGTATGTGCGAATGGTCCATAACTCCTATCTTGGTGTTGCATCCTCGTGCGATTGGACGGAGGATGGGTCGCTTGGCGGGGTTGCTGCAGCGCATCAAAGAGGTGGCCGACTGCCCAGGCAGAGTCAGAGAGTTTTCGCTAACTTTTCTTCCATGATTCCAACAGTTTGGGGATCCGAATTGCTGGGATCGGATGGCCCATCGCATATACTGTACTTGTGTGCCGTTTGGTATTGGCCATGACTGATGAGATGTGACCATTTGGAGAGGAAGTCGGCCCGATGGATCGGACGTCAGGGTCGATCACCCAGAAGGACACCCTACCTTTAAGCAGACATCCAAAGACCTAAAGACCTACTGTCAATCAGCTCATGCCAATGAGGTGCCCCTTAGCCTTGTGCCTCAGATCTTCTTTTTCCTCCAGGTCATGTCCCAAAGCATGCTAGCATGCTGTCCCCAGACCTACCAAGCAGCCTGAACCCTCGATGTGCAGGCTGTGTGGGCAGAGTCTTGTACCTGCAGTGCCTGGGATGAATTCAGCTGATGCCCTGACTTGATGAAACACTGGAACCCCCCAAAACAATCCCCCCAGACCAACCTCGTTCTTCCGCAACCCCCACATCAGGAAGTTGCATGGAATTTGCTAGGACCCCTGCGGCATGGCTGGGGAATCATCAGCGAAGATAGTGGAGATCCATGGAGCTGCAGTAGGGCAGTAGGAAAGAATGTGGGCATGTGACATGTGCTGTTTGGCAGCAAGAAGTGGCCCCTTGGCCTTCCCACTTGACAAACAGAGCTGAACCTCCGTTTGTTTGTGTTGAGTAAAGCTGTAAAAAGCACATGTGGTCAAAATTGTAGAGGTCCCGCTGAAATATGATCTTAGATGATGGTGTATATGTGACACCTCGTCAGCCACAAGCAATCTGATGCATCGAGCCCCTGGGCCGTCAGATCGTTTAGATGACAAACGCCGCCAGACGAAGGGACGAGCTGGTCCGGCGAACTCGCCGGAAGGCCGAGCTCGCTCGGTTCCTGCGGCCCGAGAGGTACTGCGATGCGGAAATCCGGGTGATTTCGCCCTGGACGGATGAGGAGCTGAAAGAGCTGGAGACCTTCCGGGACGTCACTGACAAGGCGAGACCTTGAGTGCGGCGTGGAGTCACTGCTCGGTCAGAGATAACTCTACTCTTTGACTGTCCTCAGGTGTGCTCTTAGACCCTTGGTCCTTTTAGTTTATAGCATTGCTTCCTAAGCCACTAAGGCGTTTTTTGTTTAAACTGCCCTTAGTAAAGGACCTATGGACTGCCAAGAGCCCAGTGGTAGTGTGTTTTCTGTTTTGCTGTTTTGGACTCATCCCTTCAAGAACTCCTTCGACCTTTTGTTCAACAACTGCGATCGAAGGGGTGTTCTTTTTCTGATTCTCAATGTCGTCATTGAATTCCACGGAGTCTTTTCTGAAAAAATGAAGCGACCACACTTTGCAACGGGACCTGTTCACAATATCAAGTGTAATGTCGACTCAACTTGGAGAATAGCTTGCAATCACCCAACAGAGATGATCTTAAGGGAAACTCCTCAGTTGGAGATCATGAGTCTAGCCTTCAACGGCCGCAAGTCTACAACTTACTGTACTGCATGCATATCTTTTATATATAAGTGTTCACGGGCACTTTTTTGGGGGGGGGGTTGGAGTGGCCCTCCTGGTGGTTGCATTCAGTATGACCTGCATGACCACCTCCAACTCCTGCAAAAAGAGACAGGATCATGCAATGCGTAAAAAAAACATGCCTGCAATGTTTGGACGGCTGTACTTGTTTGATATAGTTTCCTTTGTTTTTATCTGGGTATGTCTAGCCCAGCCACACCTGGTCTTGGAGATCACTTAATACCATTGGAGCCCGACGGAGCCACATGGAGCCGTCGCCGGCAGAGCCGTTGCTCCTCCAGGAGGTGGAGGAGCTGGTCTTCGGGCCAGAAGCCTGAGTCTGAGACATGAAAGAGCCAGTGGCAACCTGAAAGTGTTCCAAACGCTCCAGCATGCATTCTGTGTGGAATATGGATGAATTATGGCTGCTTCATGACTTTATTTTCAGTGCTGCAAGCTGCAAACGTGCAAAAGTAGGTAGGTGGTTGGCCGAAAAGACTTGCTCTTGGGACCTGTTGTGATGCTCACGGCAGCCCTGCCTAGAGCGCTGCACCTGTGCTGCACTCGACGATCAGCATTGAGAAAAGACGGAAGGGGAGGGCCTGTCGCGGCTGGCACGTGTCCCTCCAGAGCTTGTTGAAGTTCGGCACCCCTTAAAGCGGATCTGTTTATATTCATCAATTTTTTTGGACGAAGGGTGCTAGAAAGAGCTGACCCACATCATATGTTCAGATCCATTGTTTGTTTAAGCGACATTGCTGCCAGGCACCACCACCATTGCTGCCGTACAAATATTGCATTGGAGAATTGCAGGGGTGTGATTTGCATGAACTGGAAAGTACCAGATGAATCAGATTGCTGGGGGATATGCGCCGGTGTGCAAGACCCGCAAGGTAAAACCTTTCTGTCCACTTGACCCTCTTGATCCCTCTTGCATACAATTCAGGAATGGTCGTGGAATTGACGATGTTCTTGCCTTTGGGTAAGTGTAAAAAAACAGCTGCAGTTCCCCAAGGCAGCTGATCACCATGGCGTCGAAGATCTCCCAGCGATGTGCTATGCTCCGATGAAGAAAAATAGGCTCTGAGCACTGAAGCACAAGACGTGGCCACGAGGCGTGCTACTCAAGTCTTCACGGCCAGAGATACATGACATGTCACAGCCTTCCTCATGCCAATATGCCAACGAGCGCCACAAGGCCACCTGGACCCAACGGCTTCCACCCAAGAAGCCACCACAAGGTACAATATCAGCATGTCACTTCACAAACTTCGCACACAGCCTATTGATGCCTTTCCCCTTCCTCCACTCTCCCACCAGCCTGCCCACGAAATCCAGTTTCTCACCTCCACCCCTCCGCACCCCTCCGCACCGCTCCGCCCTCCACCCTGCGCGCTCTAGCCGGGAGCCCGGCTAAGCCCACCGCGCCGCCATGGACGCCGTGGGGCGCGCCCTCTTCAGCGGCCACGCCCTGACGGCGGCGCAGACCTTCGTCGCCGGCGTGTCGCGGCCCAAGAAGAAGCGCCTTGGAGGGATGGAGGTGAGAGGAGAGGAGAGGTGTGCACCACACATGGTGGAGATCAGAATGGCAGAATGTCACAAACACTCCATGGGATTGGCTGGTGTTGATCCATGGTCTTTTTGGGGTTCACCTTCAGGATAGTGATGATTTGCTCTTTGGAAAACTCATGTTCGCTTGGAACTTGGAACGTATTGAACTACAGCCAGCTTCTCTTGCCCAAGTCGAACTTCGTTATGTGCCCCCATTACTCTAAATCGTTGGGCTTCTCAGCGCGTCTGGGAGGGTTTTTCCACGTGGTGTGGCCTCCTAAGGTCTAAGGTCATGAGCTGAGGAATCTTCCCCCATACCTTTCCTCATGGCAGCCGAACAGAATCCCTTTATTGAGGAACCTCACTGGTCTTCGAGGTCCCTTCTCCACTTTGGTTGAAGGGTTCTCCAAGACTGACCGTGAACTTGGCCACGGCACGAGTGGACGTTGTGCTCTAACTCTAGGTCCGCACAGTCTTCGCAGTAGGCCTCACGGTTGGTGCCTAGGCGAGAGCTCACCAGCGACCTGGGGCGCAAGGACTTCGGCTTTGCACATGAGGAGCTGCTCGGTCTTTGAGTGCGCCTCACACATGAAAAAGCATCCAAATTACCTTATCCTACCTGTCCTGCAAACGAATCCTTCTTGGTTTAATGCACCTGTTTGAGGCACAAATGGTTTCCACTTGATGGGTGAGAGTGGGGGAGTGGTCAAGTGGTCGACGGGAAGTTTGGGTCAAGTGGTCGAGACCCTGGAGTTGGACACGGGGCGGTCCGCCAAGCTTCCGAACCTCGGTGCAGCGAACCTCGGTGCAGCTGAGGTGCGAAGACGTTCCACAGGGATTGGTAAATGGTGGCGGTGTCAGATACTGGCATTTGTATGTTCAACCTTTACTAAGCATTTGTATGTTACTAGCATTTGTATGTTCAGATACTAGCATTTGGTGATTGAACCCAGTCAGTGATATCTTTACCAAGCGTGTTGACACCACCAACCAGATCCCTGGTTGGGCCTTGTTTGATGCCATGGAGCTTCAGGTGGGTGCAGTGACATCCGGTAACATCCCGATTCTTTTAAAGGCCGGTTCTCTCAAAAATTATTTTCCTGCAAAAAGAGCTTCAATGCTAGTTGTTGTCAACAGTTGAAGGTCTAGGCATGCCATCCCCATGCGTTACCCCACCCAGACGGCCCAGGGATGTCGAGTGAAGAAAGTCTAGACATGTCCAGCCTGTCCAGCTCGCTCGGTCGCTGGAACTGGGAGCCAAAACGGCTGAGGTTTGATGATGAGTCCGGCTTCTATGACGCCTGGGCTGAGTTGAACGCCGGAAGACTCCGGATGGAGTTCCCATTTTCTCTCCCTGCCATGTAGAGTCTGGAACTCTTCTGACTATTCTTGGTTGAAGCCTCGCTTTGGATTCTGGGGGCTCCTCTCGCTTCCTTGGTGACTTCCCCTTGCTGCAACCAGTGAAGCAATTGTTGGGTTCATGCTCCCTTGATAGGAGTCCTGATCAGCGAGCTCATCAAGATTCCATTGTGCAGGCATGTATATACCACTAAGCATCACTAAGCATAGGTCACTGATGATGCACAAAACGCCTAAGAGCCTAAGCCAAGAGATAGTAAGCATGCAGCTACTTTATTGGTATCGAGGACTTGCTAGAAGTGACCCATTCTTTTTTAGTAGCATGCACTTCCTTTTGACTATCGTGGCGCACCCTCTTCAGATCCCAGTTCTGAGAAGAAAGGAAACTCCCCTCACTGGAGCTTTGTTGACTCCATTCCTTCAGGATGGCCGTCCTTTCATGCCTTGGGTCATCAGACCTGCGTTAGACAGATACACAACTCTTTCCCTTCTCAGCGTTGTTCATGCTTGTGCCGACCTCACCGCGTTGGTTCCTCGAGATTCGGACGGTGAGATCGCACCCTTCTCCTTCGAACCGCCCCGGAATGGATCCGATGCACCTGAGGAAGGCACGTTCAAGGTGAGGATGCGCAACGGCGTGGGACACCTCCTTGAGGCCAACTCCGGTGCCAGCTACAGCGGCCAGTGTCTGGGCGAACTGGAGAGTCCGAGTGTCCTGGTCGAGTTCGGCCTTCTTCTTCTCAGAACAGGGGACCACTGCAAGTAGTGCACCCTTCTTGGTATTTTGTGTGCGTGTGTGTGTTGGAAGATGTATGGGAATCTATTTAGCTTAGTTGTGCTTGGAGAGCTTGGATGCCTGGAGCAACCTTTGCGTGCAAAAGAGATGCCATCATAGTATAGGTCAAAGGACATGTTTTTTGGGGAGCTGCAAGACCTGGTGCAACAGGACCCAATACAGGTACAGAATTGACTAAACTCCTTACAGCACGCTCTCTTGCTCAACGCTTGGCATTGCAACGTTGATGAATGGGGTTACTCTTGGATGCCTGCAACATCCTGCAACTTGCAAATTTTGACAAACAAGTCTATGGCATAAATTTGGGGAAATGGAGCATTTGCAGCATATTGACCACCACAAACACCTCAGCTCGACCAGGCTGCTTTTTGGAGCCCAATCCTTGCCAGAAAGCCTGAGAAGATTATTTATCCCAGTGATTCCCAGTGTATGCATTTGTTGTCCAAGTCTACCTCTCCTGGACGCCCTATCCTGGACACCCTATCATAGCATATCTCAAGCATATCTCATTTTTTCTTAAATAACCATCTATCTCGTTTTTTGTCCAGTGTGGCATGTTATTCTTTCCTGCGCTTTGAACATGTTGCACGTTATTTTTGGAATCGGGTGGCCAAAAGGCGCATCGAACTTGTGCAATGCCCATGGCAAAAATATGCGCGATCGTCTTGCAGTTCTTGAAGTCATGAGTAAAGTACAAGAAGCAACTCAATTCACCTAACATGCTGTAGGTCAAATCATGCTGGTACTCGGTTGGCATGCAACAATGAAACGACAAACGTCGTGAGCAACTTCTACATGAAAGTTCCTCGTCCCACCAGCTCAATATGGTATTGCTAATCGGTGCGGACTACTGTTTGTCCAGCTGGAAGCCCAGGTTCCTGCATGAAAGGAGACACCGGCACGGCGTCCAGAAATATTCAGACAGCACCTCGGCCACTGGATTGGGAGATCGCCTTTAAACGCGGTTTGGCCACTAGTCGTGGAAGTGGTTCACATGTTTTGCTGTTGGTAACGTGTTAGACCTTGCCACATGCCAAAATGAATCCATTTTACTCTTTGTAAGTTTTTCGTCCCTGGCCGAGTCTGGTCTTTTTTTGAAATACTCAGATGAGCATCGCCTTGACCAAGGCAGCAAATTAGGCGAACAACACGGCTTTCTTGGAAGACGTGATTTGCCTATGAACGGGGCCATGTCACATGTCTACTTTGCCTGCTAGCTTGTTCAGAAGCATCCCTAGGATGAAAACATCCATATGCACAACAGCTGCCAGGACCCTCTTAAAAGTCGACATTGAGTCTTGTCCAATGTTGTCCAATGAGGAACTTCAGGATGATAACATGTACCTGAATATCATGCAGTGGTGAATGAGCCCCTCTTACACTTATTTGACATAGACTGTTCAAACCACCGTCCCAGGTTCCTACGACGGATTCTGGTCTCACGGGGAGAAGCACGGCCAGGGACTGTTTCAGTCCAGCACAGGCGCTGCGGTGTCGCGGCGCGGGTCACGGATGGGCGACTGGTCCCCTGAAGGCCTGGTAAAGGGATAAACACAAAAGCTAATGTATACAGAGCCTTGTAGAAGTGGTGCTGGAATATGTCTTGGGGAAGTTATTGAACCCTTCTCCAATTTCGTAGGAGCCTGATTTGGTGCCAATTGTGCCAATTGTTTGGGCGTAGAGTGGCTTGAAAAAAGTGACGATGCTGGCAATCGACTTACCTTGGACATGTGGGGATTTGAGATCTTCAATTCTCCGTTGAAGATGTTGGCATTCAAAAGTGCTGGCATTGATTGTCAAGCAGACGGGAAAGGCAAGGCTGTCAGAGGGAGTGAGTGGTTGTGACCTATAATGAGGGATATGATGCCTATAATTACAGTATGTGCCTGGCTACTTTTGTCTATAGGTGTCTTATTGTCTTTCACGTGCCAACACTTCTGTGAAGGGGCCGCCAGCTAGCAACTCATTTTAGTTTGTGGGTGGAAGATTTCAATGTGCTCACTATGATGAAGACCATCTTTCCAATACGTTGTTTGCTCAGGAATTGATACATGTGTGGGGGTCATCTTGGTGTACACGCCTTCGTTGCATAATGCATGTTTTTCTTCGGGGAGGTGGCGGAGGTGGCCTGCCAGGTGGGGTACGGTATGGTCAGGCACCTATGATGGGAAATGGGAGGAAAGCCTGAAGCATGGTGCGGGGAAGCAGCTCTACAAGAATGGCGATGAATATCACGGTACGTGGTACCAAGGCTACCCGGCACAGTGGACGGGGTGATGGGGCGAAGATCTTATGTAGGAATGGACCCGAGGCAAACCATCCACTTTCCCGCACTGGGGTGACCGGTAGGACGCCCAAAACATCCAAAAGCCATGAGCACCTAAAATGCAGCAGAAACATCATTCAGTTCTAGCTTCAGAATCACAGAAGCCTAGCTTTGCCCATATGGCTGTCATATTTGGACTTCTTCTGAAAGGCTTCGGAGTAAAAATTCGGCTGAACGGCTATTTGCGCAGCCATTGGATTTGAAACGAACATAGTTCATGCCCGATCTGACCGAGGGATCCGATTTTGGCCTTTCGAAGGTTTTCCCGGGAGACCGAGCTGGGAACAAACCAGCTGGGAACGCGTTTGTTCAGGTTTCACATCTTAAGGTGCTTGCAGCGTAGATTTGTGCGATATAGTCGTAGATGTGTGTTTGAATATGGCTGACAAAAGCCATGTTCAACGCCCGTCCATCGACGTTTGTTCTATCCTTCCTATAAGGCCAATGCAGCGGCAAGGGGGTTTACTATCACGCCAACGGTGCAGAGTTCCATGGCGCGTGGGCGGCTGGCAAGCGCCACGGCGGTGGGATGTACTTCGGTCCTAAGGGGCAGAAGGCACGAGGGAGGGATGGAAAGTCGATCTGAAGATGAGTTTTCAGAGGGAAGGAGTGGAGGTGGAGAGAGACAGATTGAGGCGAAGTGGGTTGGGTGGAGAGTGCCAGGTGCTGCGTTTCGGGGTCGCAGATGGTGAGGTGAGGCATTGATCCATTCTTGGCGAAGCTGAAGCATCGAAAGCGACCGCACCCGACAGTGATCGTGAGGATTTGCCGTGGAAGGTTGAAGCACCCTGGCAAGTGGAAACCACCAAGTAACCTGCAAAGCAACCGGCGCTCTAATTGCCATCCAGCTATTGCCCCTTGAAATGTCCTTACTAAAACATACTTAAACCCTAAACATCCTTAAACCATAAACCCCATCATAAACCCCAAGATGCCCGGCTTTCCCACCATGCCATCGGCCAGGAGCACCATATCTACCAGTTCGGCGTCCTGATGGAGCGACGGATCTTGCTTCCGGGCTCCAAGCCGCCCCGGGGCCACCGGGTCATCCAGCCGATGCACACCGACCAGACCCTGAAGACGCAAGCGCACATCGTTCCGCGGCAGACGAACGTTGGACCGTTTGGACCGTTCGGGCGAGCGGTTGTCACCTGGGGTGAGACATGAGGCGGATGACCCGGTCTTCCGTGGCTTTTAGAGGTGAGAAATGGCACCCCTGTGGATGTCTTGCAGATGGAGGTCGATATAACCACCCAACTTGGGGGTTCCGCGCCATCGAACCTCTGAAGCCACTGTACTTGGCCGACTTGAGCCTGTTTGGCTGAACGTCCGCTCGCTCGAACATTTGTTCTTGTGTGCTGCTCGGCTGGCCCACTAACAAAGAAACTATTTGCCTTTAAGTCTGAAGAGTGACATGGCTGTGGGTCAAAGCTGCCGTGATATTCCCATTGCTCTTTGTATAGCCTTACTGGCCTTATTTATGTTGTAGTTCGGCTGACGGAGTTTGTCTTGAGACTAGGATGGAGTTGTATTATCATCTACTCTACACCTTTTGTGCACAACATAGCTTTGCCGTTGTTGTAAATGTGTTCGCCTCTTTGCATTTGCTTTTCAGGCTGCCGTTTGGTTCGTCCGTCGACCTGTGCGACCGTCGATGTTTTCGTTTCTGACGGCCTGCGAGCTTTCGAGGATATGTTGAAGGACACCATGTTTGACTCCATACCCTACATGGGCCATTTGTCAGTGTTGCTTGGACTTGCTGGGCAGATTCTTCGGTGGGCGGATTTTTTACCCTGATGGCTTCCACTTAGCCTTTTTGGAGGGCCTTGGTGGCCATATGCCAGAGGGCCTGCAAAGCTATTCTTAGCTATTCCACACTTGGCCAGTCTTGCTGACTGTGGCATGCAGCCAGCAGCACTCTCCCAAAAGAAAGTCCTGGCCTCTTTTCCAGCAATGATCCACCCACCCCCTCGAAAAGACACATTCTTAGGCCCAATTGAAATATGAGTTGCTTCACCGCGTTCATTTTCTTTTAGTGATGAAATGAAGGTGCTCTTGACCCATCCAAAGGAACAGGTGCTTTGCCCGTGTTTTTGACCAATCTGGAGATGGACCGATGGAGCCATCGCAGTGGTTCGGCTCAGGAAAGACTCCACCTTACTGGACCTGAGTGCCCCTAGCATCCGACGACAGCAAGCGGCGGCCAACGTGGCGGAGATGAAGCGAGCTTCGGCGCTATTGGGCCGAGGTCCCGCCGTGTCCTGCACAGCTTTGGCATAGATTCCCGAGAATCAGGAACAGCGGTGTTCAACACTGAAGACTAAGTCAAGCTGAAGCGTTCGAGTCTAGCAAGCCTAGAGCCTAGTGCACCCCTTTGACCAGGGAGTTCCACCGGTGGTTTCAGAGCGCGTTTATCGCTTTGATCATGCGGGAGCAGTTTCCGCATAGCCATGACCGCCCTTGAAACTGCACACTGCAAGAAATCCTGCACTCCTTCTCACGAGCTCCACGGGTGTTCCGGTTCAACTTCTTGCCACTCACAGTCCTTGAGGAAACCTCTATCCTTTTGACCCAGAGGGCGACCGCTTGGCCGACCAGGAGGAGGAGGAGTGGCTCAGGGGTTTGGATCTGCTTATATTTGCTTCCAAATCGGGGCTGTGAGGGTCCATATATGGGATTGTGGCTGCAGGTGGAGAGCCCCACACCACAGTAGCGTGAGTGGATATGTTCATTTTTGGGTTCAGCCAGGGGCTTGTTTTGTGCTTTGCTGTGTGAACGGTGAACACTTCTCCCCATCCTGGGCCTGTATCGCAATACGGAATATCAGGATGGCGGATTACTATGGATCACGGATTGCTCCCACTACAGACATTTTTCGGATTAGCAGGATTATGGATTAGCCAATTAGTTCTGTAGGCGGGCTCATTTTGGTGAGCCCAGTGAAAAGGGTGGGGCATAGTCCTCAAGACTAATCAGGGCACAGGCTGCTCGGCGCTTTGTGATGTGTCATTCTTGGCTTTTTACTTTTTGGGAGGGTAGGCCATGGACCGTTTTGGGGAGGCTTTACCTAGCACCACCCCAAGCGAATCCCCGCAAGGGAGCTACCGCTTCATTTGCTAGAAAAGGACACTGGGCGCAGAAACATAGATTCTAAGATCAAATCACATGAAGCATCCTCATCCCGAAATCTTCCAAATGTCCCGACCCACAATGGATCCGTTGTTTGTTCTCTCTCCCCAAGCTGCTCTGGGTCGGCAGCTGGTCCTGCTTGTGGCAGGACGAGCAGCTGGATGTTTCACCGCTTTCACCCGCGAACGACGGGGGGCACGGAGCTGCCAGGAGCGCTAGACCCGGAGGAGCCTTGAAAGTGCATCTCTCCAGATGGGATTTCTTGGTTTGGCTGAAGACTTGAAGTTTAAGAGTCAAGAAGTGCACGTTTGAAGAGTTAAGTCAGAATCACAAGCAGGGGTGTAAGCCAGTGAGGGTGCCAACGCTTGCCAGCTAAAACCCCCATACCTACCACAGACACATGATGATGAGATTCAAGCCTGAACTTGATCCACCAAGAGATTTCACAAAGGTTTCACTTGGCCGCAAGACGCGGCGCACATAGACGTCCAACCGTGGCGAAAGACGCGTGAGCCGCAGCCACTGTCGATGGTGGGATGGAAAGATCCTTTTCCGAAGCTTCCTGACAAGGGTTATGTTTTGTTTGGGATGTGTCTTGAAAATGTGCAAGAGCGTTTGAGCAGCATGTGCAATCTTCAGAATGTCCAGATTTTTGTTGGGGTGTTCGCAAGAAAATACCGTCGAGCGGTTCGGAGTCATCGACTGCTATTTTCTGAAACAATGCTCCACGCCACCAGAAAGAATCATGATATATCATGCCCCCCCTATGACATCCAAGCCCTGAAGCAGAAAGTTGTAATTCTTGGTCAACTATGAGTCACAGAAACAACGCCCACTTAGCACAGAAACTTGGTACCAGCACGATCCAAGGGCCAATGAAATCTTGTAGCCTTGTAGCCGAGTTGTGTGGCAGGCCCACAGCTAGGCCATCGCCCAGTAATTAGTAACTAGTACCTATGGTATAGTAACTATCACCAATTTTACTAAATAACATCTATACTCACAGCATGATCGGCCTTCACTTCGCCGCAACGCATCTTGCCAAAGTGGACAAAAATTGATCGAGTGATCGAGTGCGGTAGGCCACCACAAAATCGAGACGAATCAATGGAATCAGTGGAGCTTTGCTGGCCGCACACGGGCCGCAGAGAATGCCAGCCGCCGTACTCTCCCATCTTGGCTCAAAGCGACCGATGGGCCACCCCCCACAGGTGTGGGGGGGGTTGGTACCCAGGCCCCTAGCAATGAGACTTGGATGATCAAGGGACGTTTCTTCGACATTCTGTGAATGCCCAGGTGATCCTAGGCAGGTGTCAGGCAGGTGTCAGCTAGGCCTGCTGATAAGTGTTCTAGCGAAGCATGTTGATTGGTCTGGAGAGCTAGAAGCACCACAAAGCACTGCAGGTGGAAGACATTGCGTGGTGGTTGAAAACTGTCAGAAATCCATTCTAGCATCTTCTAGCCATTTAGACCTGGACTGCTTGGCCTTCAACTAGACCTTTCGCACTCATATTGGTCAACCCTTTCGCCTCCGTGAGTCGTTCGTGGTTTGTTTCACGCTCCGCTCTGTGAGTCCGAAACGCGGAGACCAGCGATCAGCTGGACCGATCAGACAGGTTGGACCACCAGGCCGATTCAGGCTGCTTGAAAACCGGATCAATGGGGAAGGGTTGCGGTGGGACGTTCCATGACGCACAGATAAAGCTGCAGCCTCATCGATGGACCGACGTGATACGGTAGGAACAGCCCTATAGGTGAATGTGGACACGAGTTCAGACTTGAGCACGTGACTTGGGATTTATATGGAAGAAAGAACCACGAAGCATGATGCAAGATTGTCTACCATTGGTCGTTCAACTATTCGCTTTTAGCCCCAACAACCCTTTGGCATCCCAAACGCATAGTTCCTGATGGCCGAGGAAGTGCCTCGCATCCAGAACATGGGTGTGGGTCATTGTCCAGGCGCGGCTCAAACAGAGGTCGCCAGTTCCCTCAAAAACGCCACTGGCGGTAAGGGGATGGATGCAACCTATCTCTCCATATCCAAAACCCTCCTAAAACACTAATAACCCCAAACTTGTGTCGCCATTGAGTCAGATTTGGTGTCGCAAATGAGACCCTTGCCCAAAAGAAGTAATGGATTTTGACTGGACCAGAGTGATAATGACAAAGTGAGGAGGGTAGGTGGATGATGAATGGGAGTTGAGGCAAATGCCTTGTGAAGAGGGAGGTTGGACCGCAACGGAATCTGGGGATAATTTCCCACAAGTAGGGGAACAGCATGGCTTAGCATGTTTGAGTGCTTTCCAGTTGCATGAAAAGGCGGGAAAACGCTCAAGCAGGATAGAGCCAGCCCTTAATTGAAGTTAAGCCCGTGGACTTCGCATAAGCAATTGATGGCAGAAATTCAACCGAATCTCTAAAGGCAATGTCTCCTTTACAGAAACGGGGAGAGGTCCAAAGCATGTTGACTTCGTTTTCGACAGTCTTATCCTTGACCTGGCGTCATTGTGATCAGCTCCTATCGTAGCCTACCTTTCCCGTTCTCTCACAGTAGGGTAAACTGTGGATTCATAAAACCTCCATGTGAGGTGTTACAATCTCAATGGGTGCGTTTTTGTTGAAAACAACAGGATTGTAACACCTTGAGATGGCACTTCCACGAGATGGGTGGCACCTCCAGGAGTCTACACTACCTGTACCCATTCGTAAAACCTCTTCGACAGGTCGGTGCCTGGAAGTTGCGCCACGAGGAGCACGGAGGCCGAAAGCGGTGATGCACCGGAACCGGCGACGCGAGGGGCGACGCGAGGTTTTTGAGTGGTTTTGCTGTGACCCTCAATTACCTGAACTGAACTTGGATGAAGAAAAGGGAATTTGCTCCTTAGATGTCCTTGGTCATTCTTGTCAGCGCCGTTCTTTTTCCAGCTGCTCATGTGGAAACAGCGGAAGGGGGGGATATGGCGGGTGCAGAGTGAAGGTGTCCTGATGCGATTTGTGAAAGCTGATTCTTCCGGATTGTTGGTATTGAGATGTATTGAGTGCTTTCACATGAGGAGCAGGAAAAACAAAGTGTTTGCAAATCATCCACCATGATCAAGTGGACATGTCCTTCCTAAACACCAGCATAAGGATGTTCTGCACCAGCATAATGGTGTTCTGGACATTTACATCAATGTAGTCATTCCTGATTTGGTGATCCCACGTCACCTCAACATAACCAGCTAGGCTCATACTATTTCGCGGGTGAAGACTCAGCCTCCAAAACGCTGTGATCAAGTAGCAAGCTCTCGGTCGACATGAAGGTATCCCAAGGCATCACCATCTAGGTAAATCCTGCGAATCCGAGCCTTCATCACGGGCATGTCACGGGCACTTGCAGGCAGCCAGGGCAAGGCATCTTGATTGCAAGCAGCAGGAATGCCTTGAGATTGAAAATAACAAACACACAAGGTATAGGTATAGACACGTAAATCATTATGTGGCTTTGCACTTCTAGAGCTTTCCAACGCACACCAGGAAGCGTGTTCTTGCACCATGTTGCACGGATCTTCACACAAAAATGTATTATGTTGGAAGATCTAGGGCTTGGGGCTTGGGGTGTTCCCTGAAAGCCAAACCAGCCTCTACTCTACTCTATTTCGAGGCAAAGGTTGTTTTCAACGCAGGTTCTTTAGCATCAACAGCGCCATGAAAGGTAGATCTTCATATACGGAATTATACGGATGTTTTCCATGAACACCGCCTCGTACCTTCCAGGAAAAGCCAAACAAGAGTGAGGACACTGACACTGACTGTGAACAAATGTGCGACAATCCCATGAATTAGAGGAGCACCAAGAGGGTAGAATCTCATGGGCTTGTCAATGTTGCACAACAGGTTCGGCGGCAACAAAACAGCGTAAAGGTTCAGAATACATCTCCGGGCATGGTTTCCTCGAGGCCCGTTAGTGGAAGGAGTGCACAATCAGTGCAGTGGCTGTCCATGTCATCGACACCTTAGCAGGAAAAGTCCAAATGTTCAAACAATGGCAATGAATATGTTCTTTGCACCAGTTTGGGATCCAGTTATCTGACCACATTGACTGTCGCTGGCCAAGGAATGCTATGAGTACCAGTGCAGTTTGGAACTCAGTTCTTTAAGCCAACCACGTACCTCGTGCTTTTGATAGAGAAATCCTGTCATATAGAAAATTCACGTAAGATCCCCCAGCTTTTTGTGGTAGTGGTTTGATGTGGTTTGTACTTGACATTTGCCCCTCACCGTCACCACATTGACAACCCTCGGCAGCACTGCGGTGGCTTGGAGAGCAGGGCTCCTGCCGTGGCTGGGTCTGGTTTCTGGTGGGGTGAACTGCCAACACATCTGTCAAGGTCATGTCGATTCCGTTCCGGAGGAAGCAGAAGTTTGGTTCCGGCGCGCGATGGCATCAAACAGAACAAAGAAGATAACCAAAACACTTAATTTTTTGGCCGTTATAGGCCGTTGAGAGGATTCAACAAACCGTAAGTACGGATTGCCGCCTCTTAGCTTTCTTAACGGATTGCCCGTCCAGATCCGCACTGTACCAGGTGAGGGTTGGTCTCCTAAGACTGATCACCACAAGCGCCACGGCGCCAGTGACCTCGAGTGCTGCGAGAAGTCGCTCCGTCGGAAAGGGTCGTCCGTATGGGTCGTCTGTATGGGTCGTACGTGGTCGCCGAAGTGGTCATGATGGGGTCGCATCCGACCGATGCGGGTCCTGGAGATTGGGTAGGTATCGGTTTTTTTTCTTGGGCAGTCACAGCCAGATTCGATGGTCTTGGTGGGGTCAGCGTCGGATTTTGCTTGGGTTGGCCAGCAGTGGTATAGGATGTTCTGATGCTCACGATGCCCCTTGTGTTTTCAGCTGTACCTTTTTGAATGTGCACACCTCTTGGAGCTCGAGAACTGCCACGCAAGCCAGAAACTCGAATTGTTTATTGTGTTTCTTTCTTCATGTCCTCACTAAAAAGCTTGGGCCAGATGATCGTGTTGTTGATGCAGTAGGTCATGTGCGGCCGGTCAGGCGAAGGGCCCAATTGGTGCGGCAAAAGCCACCTGCTCTTTCGCTCGACTCGGGTTCTTTGGGGCCTCCATGGGAGTGCCTAAGAGAGCACTTTCGCACGGCAGGTGTACCTTCAGACCTCAAGGGCCACCGTCCGCTGGACTACACCGTCCCCGCTATTGGACGCTAAGGACTTGTGCCTTGTGGTCTTGTGGCGAGGGCTTTGCCTCGAACGAAGCGTACAGCACCAACGCTACTAGTCCCAAAGTGCCAGCTTGGGTGGGAGACGGGCCTTGATGATACTCTTCTTTTGAGCTGAAATCATGTCCTACAATTTTTGGAGTGATAAATGAGATGTTTACCACCATGCCATGTGCACACGGCCCGGCCTCTCATTTCTCGGGTAGTGTGTGACCGGCACAACTTGTCCTTGTTTCCACTCTACTGTGTTGGAAGTTCATAGCACTCACTTAGTGATTGATGTCATTTTCGCATATTTTCGCTTGGCTGCTCTGGCCGTTGTCCTGCACTGCACGCATGCCCCTCCAGAGGTCTTCCAGAGCAATGAGATGTGCTGCGACAAGACTTGCGCCACCGTGCCTTGCAAGGCCAGCGCGCGGTTCGCCCGCCTCGCCGTTCGACGGGTGAATCAGTGAATCGCCGCGCGTTCGCCCTAAGGTATCGTGAGCTACACCGTGGTCAACACCCAGCTTGGTTGTGAGAACAATTGAAAACATGAGCCATAGAAACTATAGAACATCATAGAGCCTTTGAGCCTTTGAGGCCAAACTTGAAATAACATCGGCCTGAAAAAGGTCAAGGCTTTGGAGAGTGAACGGGATGGAGTTATTGAATAGAACATGATACAACTCATTGTTTCACAAGTCTTGCGTAGTCTTGCCTTTTTCGTAGTTGAGGGGAGCACCTTCGAAAAAGCGGCCACTTTGTTACCTTCGGGTGAGTGGTGTGCATGTTTGATGCCCCTGTGACGGCTCACCCTGCTGATTTTGGGGTGATATTTTCGTTGGTTTCTGTGTGTTGTTCGATTTTGCCATCCATTCCCTGCTGCTCGCCAGGCGGGCTACCGGAACAAAGGGGCTGAAGCATTGGCGCTCACACACGATGAATGTTGTGCAGCTTGGCATCAGCTAAGTTGATTCGATGAATGAGTGGTCTTATATGGTCGGTCTTACTCATTGCAAGACACCTGGGTGCTACTCCTGGCCGTTTTGGATCGCTTTTGCAGGATGTGTCGAATCCGCATGCGGCTGCATGCCGCCAAGCATTCGAAAAAGCAGTTCTTGGGGCGATGATTGAACACGCTAAACTCAACAAAGGCCGTTTTGGCCACGTGTCAGTGCAGCCGACTAACGGTTCCAAGAGATAAACTGATGAACAGACCGAGAAGGGCCTTCTTGTAATCTCTGTAGTAGAGGTTTGATTCCCCTCAAGGTTCGGCATATTTGATGTCAACTAGCATTCATTTAGGCTCCCTTCACTCCAAAAGCCCGTGATTTGTTTGTGAACGTGGCCCCAAAAAGTTATCTCCATTCGTTTTGGGTAGAAGGCTTGTAGAAGGTGCACATCTCCCCAAAATACCAGCTCGTCAGTAAGCCTTTTCGGAACAATGAAGGACCACTTGATGGATCAAAAAGGCGACCAAAAATCGGTGGGAATCCTTGGGGATCCCAGAGCGCCAAGGAGATGACCTGTGCACTCTTCAACTGTACCGGCAATTGGACTCGCCAGCCCAGCGCGGTCGATAGGCCATGCGTAGGACGCGCAGTGACGTGGAGCATGGAGCTAAACCACTGGATAGAGGAGCATGGTGAAATGGAACATGTACCTGTCAGACCCCTTGGTGTTGCAGACCTTGGTTTTGGGGAAGACCTTCGTTGCTTCAAGCCGCCACTGGTGTGAAGTATCTCAGGGTATAGTCAAGAAGGTCAGTACTTGAGCAACTGCACCGGACTGGAAGCTTGGACTGCTAGGAAGCTTGGAGGACCTATACACTGTGGGGACTAGTGATGGTACTTGGTGGAATCTGCGCTTGTCAAAGACCAGCTGCGCAAGACTTCTGGAGACTACTGTACTAATTGATAATGTTTGTCCGTGCGCAGGGAGAGGAACTGAGCCTTTTGCCATGGGCATGGCTCTAAACTCGCCCAAAATAGACCAGAGGAACGGCCCAATTCCCAAGCTAAATGATGTTGATGTGGGAGCCCCTAGAAACATCCGATCGCTCCTAGTAGCGATGCCCTTTGTTCCTAGTAGCTTCTTGCTCCTAGTAGTAAGGCCAGGAGCCCCTAGAAGCGTCCTTGTTCCATTCGTAGCGATGCCTTTGTTCCTAGAAGCGTCCTTGTTCCTAGTACCAGGGAATGTTGATGTGGCTCCATCCCAAGACTGTTGGTATTTCTGATGAATTTTGCGGCGTTCACAGGGTGGCGGAGGACGAGAACACCTGCTGCCAGCCCAGCTGTGCCGTCTTCGACTGCGCTGCAGGTGATGGGGGCTGGTGAAATGTGGGTGTCTTATTTCTATTAGGGGGGGAGACCATGGGGAGATGGGTATATAGACTTGTAGACTGGTCTATTTCCCTTCTCACAGTGGGGTCATACAGCCCGGAAAGTCCCGCCATGATAAACAAAACACATGGTGGCGTGTTCATTTGTCATTTTGAGTCATCCTGTGGGGCATAGAAAAAGAGCAGTCCATTTGGGATTCTTTGGGTATTGTGTGGAATGTCAGTGACCTCAATCGATCCAAAGCAAGACGTAGACAGGGATCAGGAGGGTTTTGAAATCATGATGCTACAGAAGGACCTTGGAAGACCAACATTATTATAAATTCATGATTTCCTCTATCTGGAGGGAGCTTATGTTTGAGCTTTCCACGTTCCTTTTTTCTTGCCAGTTTCTACGTCAACTTGTCACTGGAACGAGTCCACGGTATCACGGTGTTTTTCTGCCGTGGCTCCAGCAGAATCCCATGTCGGGGACCTCGACCATCACACCAGGGACCCGTTCCTCGTCTTCGTTCAGATGATAGTGATTTGCATGTGATTACTGAGTTGGGTGGGATATCGTGAAGCCCAAGAAGTACCTATAGTAGGAAGCATGGGTTGTTCTTTGCAGGTTCACCATCCATCCTATATAATGGGTTCCGGTGCCATGCGCACGCCGCCGCTTGCATCGCCGGCCGCACAACCTGCGCAAGAAGATCTGCCAGCGGCCGTGGTGTGCCTCAGCAGGAATCATGCCAATGACAGGCTGAAAAAGACCTAGCAAACATATAAGCCTCCTACAGGGTGTCTACTAGTGCTATTAATAGCCCTTTGAGAAGGTTTAGGGGTGTCACTTAACCACCCCTTGGATATGCTTTGGAACTGGTGCCTTTCTCTCAGGGACTTGTCAGGGATTGTTGGACTCGTCGCGAACCCAACATCTACGAGGTTGGGTCTGTCCCATTACCTGTACTGTAATAGCAGTTGAAAAGGCCTGCAACCTAACCATCATCCACTATTACAAGTAATGGGATGGCATAGCAAACTACAAGGTAACTTCGGCATCGGACTTAAGGGTGAAGGCAACCAGAACCGACGTGCCGACTCCAAACTTTCCTTAAGATCTCCCACCCCGTTTTTCTTTTCGAGGATCCCCTCAACACTCACAATTCCCAAGTAGTCTTCAAAGCTTCTAACATTTATCGTTCAATTTTAGCCCTTTCGTGCTAAGGTGCTATACTATGAAGACTTGTCTGACATGAGTTCCAACATTCACTCCCTCCGGCATCCAAACTCTGGCGTGCCGAGGCCAACCACCTCCCTCCCAGAGGGGGGCACTCGTTGGCACCGGCGCATTTGCGATGTTGACGGTGACTGGCCTCGATGGCTCGACGCTTCAGCTGGAGGTGGATGAGACGATGACCGTGGCCTGTCCGACCGCAAAAAACTGTCCGACCTGGGCGGAGGTGTCCTAGACCTGCCCCAACGAACGAAGTGGGATCAATGCAGAACAGACACTGTTGGTGAAGGAAAGTCGCCACCCTTGTGTGGGTGCCCATGTCCATTTCCATATTGCTTGGAGTATTGCTTTGATAAGGCTTGGGTACTTCAAGTGCAGCCGGGTTGCTATGGGGAGTTCCTACCCACCGCAGATTGATCAAAATTTCATACTTCGACCCCAGGTCACTCTACATGTTGTAAAGATACTGTGCTGGCAGAGCGAAAGAGTCTTGCGTGCATGATCGGCTAGGTGAAGCCAAGTAAAGGGACCTTAGGTAGGCATCGTGACGCTGTACGGTCCAAGGCCCCCCTGAACAGCAGAGGATGACCAGCTCCCTATACAAGCAAGAAACTTTATATCACCATACCTATGCTTACTCCTCCCCCTATCAGCTGGTGGTCCAGTCTCAACCTGGGCCTCTTCCCAGGCACAGGCCCTGGTACTCAGGTCACCGCTTTGACAAGGACTATCGCACACCGCGTTGCTTTGAAGGCTGGTTTACGCCTCATCTTGACCTCCGGTGGGAAGATCATCGATCGCTGCCAGCCATTACTGCCACAGGTGTCGGAGGGCGAAATCATGCACCTCAAGCGGCACATGGCGGACACTTTGGACCCCATTTTTGTGCGCAAAGAGTTGAACAGTTAAAGTTAAATCGATAGAATTTGTCTAAGTGACTGGAACAAGTGTTAGCTGCTTTGAGGAGTTTTCATGTTTGTGGCATGCGGCAATCGTACTTTGATTCCGTCCTCCTTCACTTGGCACTTGGACCCGGCACGTGAAACGTTCGCTTCTTAAATGTAGATGCTCAAGCCGTTGCATTGGTGAACGTCTGAAGCCGTTGGCCCCTGTATGAGAGAAATGTGATCACATGGCCCCTGGGGAATATAACCGACTGAAGGCTGAATGTACAAGCATGTTTTTCGAGGACATGGACTCACCTTGTCGGATAGTATGCTTGTACGTTTGGAAATGGGATCCGGACCCTAAGTACTAGAGGGAAACGTTAGACTTTTCTTGGAATCAACTATTCGCATCGTTTTGAATCCAGATGTGTCAAGGGATTGGTGGGTTCCACTGCGACATTCTAACTGCGAATCCTACAGTTGGCATTTTGGTGATTGATGTATGATGATACGTGTATATGTATATATATATACACGGGATCCCACTTAAAAGTCTTTGGGAGTTTGCGAGCACCTGCGGATGGAAACCATGCATGTATCCAATGGTTGGGTTCGTTTTCGGTGGCTCTGCGAGCGTCATTTATGTCGGCACCATTTACTTTCAATCTACTGTAGCCAATCGCTTGTTCCTCTCAGGTGCTTGTGCATAGCTGGAGTCTCGTTTTGGTGTGTTTTCCTCCTTCCACACGTGTAAAGATTGTAAAGCTCCTGGTGGGAATGGTGGGAAGAACCAAACAACTCCTTGAAATCCTCATGGAAGTGGAAGGCCCCTGTCCACTTCCATGGACTTCTGACTCGGAGAGAAGGATCTCCTGGTCCTACATGCCAATCCAAGGTACGTGACAAGGCAATATGGTGCGGGACAAGCTGCGGTGATTCTCCGGACGAACCTGTCAGAGAGGACCAGGCAGGACTTAACATTTAATCCTATTCTCCGCTAGGTGGTGGTTTGGAAATAAGACACCCATTGGAACAGGTGAACCACAAGTCACATGTCCAGCTTATACTGTTTTATCATGTCACGTGTCAACACGCATGTCGCGGCAGTCCTTTTATAGGCGAAGCTTGTGCGCAGAAGATGTGGACGCCATTGATGCCATTTCCTCATTGACCTTCGCGGATGAGTTCAACAAAAGATTGGATGGTGTGACCCTTCCAGGCGGCCTGGAAGACTTGACGTTTGGCCGTGACTTCAACCAGTTGTTGGAAGAGGTGCTTTTGCCCAAGACTCTGCAGACGTTGACCTTTGGCCGCGATTTCAACCAAACCTTGACACATGTCACGTGGCCAAGTGGCCTGCAAACATTGGCTCTTGGCGGGGCCTTCAACCACAGCTTGGAGGGCATGCTGTGGCCGAGTAATTTGCAACATTTGCAACTAGGGTCTGGTTTCAACCAGAGCTTGGCAGGTGTCACCCTGCCAGGCAGCCTGCGGACTTTGATCTTCGGCTCCTCCTTTGACCAGAGCATGGATGGGGTAGTCTTGCCCAGTAGCTTGCAGTCATTGACCTTTGGCGACTGCTTTTGCCAGAGCTTGACTGGTGTCACACTGCCAAATGGCCTGAGGTCCTTGACCTTTGGCGATGGGTTCAATCACAGCCTGAAAGGTGTCAAATTTCCAAACTCACTTCAATCCTTGACTTTTGGTCTTCGTTTCGACCAAAGCTTGCAGGGTGTTTCGCTGCCAAGCAGCCTTCAAAACTTGACCTTGGGCGAGCTATTCAACCAGAGTTTGGCAGGTATAACCCTCCCAAACAGCCTGCAGAGCTTGTCCTTTGACCGTAGCTTTAACCAAAGCTTGGCGGGCACTGTGCTCCCCAACAGCTTGCACACGTTGACCTTCGGCCGTGATTTCCGACAGAAGTTGGCAGGTGTTTCCTTGCCGAGGGGCTTGCAGAAGTTCACCTTCGGCTCGACCTTTGACAAAAGCTTGGATGGTGTTGTATTGCCGAGTGGCCTGGAGACGGCGACTTTGGACTGTGGTTTTGAAGGCGTCATTCTTCCAAGCCACCTTCAGACTCTGCTCCTTGGTCAGCAGTTCGATCAAAGCTTGGCAGGCGTTTCTTTGCCGCAGAACCTGCGGACTTTGATATTCGGGCTGAGTTTTGACCAAAGCTTGGCCGGTGTCACCTTCCCAAGCAACCTGGAGACTTTGAGCTTTGGCTTGAGTTTTGACCAGAGTTTGGCAGGTGTCACCCTGCCCAGCAGCCTGCGCTCTTTGACCTTTGGACATTGTTTTGACCAAAGCTTGGCAGGCCTGGTCTTGCCGAGCAGCTTGCAGGCTTTAGCCTTTGGTGATTGCTTTTGCCAGAGCTTGGATGATGTCATTCTGCCCAGCAGCCTACAGAGTTTGACCTTTGGCAACGAGTTCAACAAGAGCCTTGCAGGTGTCACGCTTCCCAGCGGCTTGCAGACTCTGACGCTGGGCCTCCGTTTCAACCAGAGCTTGGTCAATGTAGATCTGCCAGCCAATCTCCACTCTTTGACCTTCGGTCATGATTTTGACCAGAGCTTGGAAGGCGTGTCGTTTCCCGACAGTCTGAGGACTGTGATCTTCGGAAACGACTTCGATCAGAGTTTGCGAGCTGTGACGCTGCCCAATGACTTGGAGAGCTTGACCTTCGGTGCAGGTTTCAATCAGAGTTTAGCAGGTGTGACGCTGCCAAGTGGTCTTCTCTCTTTGACCTTTGGTATTGAGTTTAATCAGAGCTTGGATGCTGTCATCCTGCCCAGCAACCTGCAGCTCTTGTCTTTTGGGCGTGACTTCAACCAGAGCTTGGCAGCTGTGACCTTGCCGAGCAGCCTTCAGACCTTGGACTTTGGCCGTTTCTTCAACCAGAGCTTCGAAGGGGTCTTGCTACCATCGAGCTTGCAGACTTTGACCTTGGGCCATGATTTCGACCAAAGCTTTGAAGGTGTCACCTTGCCCAGCACTCTCCAGGAAGTCCGTTTCAATGAATTCAGTGTCAACGTTCACTAAGATGTTGCAGCTCAGCTTCTAGGCTGGGGAGAGGCAAAGAAGAAAAGCAGGGCAGCGAAGAATGGTTTGAAGTTCAGGCACAGTGGCTGCTCATGCCATCCGCGCAGCCAGAGCTCGCTTGGCTTTGAGCTTTCGTCGTTCGTTTCGAGTTTTTTCTGAAACTGCAGGATGCTGATGCTGGGCCCCCCTCCGAAAAAGCCAAGAACACCAGTCGACTCAGCCACACTCACTTTCATCGACTCCTGTTTTCAACGAACGTGCAACTCAGTGGTTTGTCTGCAGCGGTCGTTTGCGGTTTCTGACACATAGTTGGCATCAGAAACTGGGCAATATGCCAACAGAAAACAAGTTGTCGATATGCCAACTACATGTGTTCCACTACTGCAAAGTCAGGAATTGTTCTTTGCACGAATTGATCTTTGCGGCAGCCTATTCGAGCCCTTGAAAAAAATATAAAAAAATCCCTGTGAGGGAGATCACCGGGAATCCACACTGTTGACCTCACCCCGGCGCTCGTTTCGACGACTCGGGCGTTTCGCCGCGACCTGCCGCAGTGAGCAAAGAAGCCAAGCTGGATGCCGTGCATTTGCCCGCCAGCTCAGCGGATGTGTGCTGCGTCAAGGCAGGAAACATCGAGGATGTTTAGATCCATGGGGGGGGAAAGAATGGAAAGCAACTCGATGCCATCACCATGGCCAGGGGAGGGTCACCCTGGCCGGCCGGCCTGCAGATCTGGAAAGGGGAGATCAATGGAAACGGACACTTTCCACAAGGCAAATTTGGGAAACGGCATCGTATTTCTGGCGAACATGAGGTTCCCGAGGTGCTCAGCAGTGGTCCAGTTAGGCTGAAGTCGCCGATTTGTCGAAGGACGAAGCGCTTCAGCTGGAACCTGAAAAGGTCCTTGCTAGACGATATGTCTTCTGATCATGATTGAGAGTGGGGACGACATGCACAATCCCCAACAGATGGTTTGTAGGGACTCGGGGTGAGTGCCGTCTACTCTGGGGACATTCTCATTACAGATCACCTGGCGGACAAGTCTCGTCCGTCGAAGTGAGAGCGCCCGCCGGGGCCGACTCTTTTCCTATATAAGATTGCTGAAGCATGCGTCACCTACGTCGAAGTGCGGAACCTCGAGAGGTCAGTGTTTTCCAAAGTGTCAAAGGTCGCAGACAGGTCGCAGACTTCCGTGCGCCTCTTCTCGTGCCAGACCTGCTCCTTTTGGTCCTGCCCTTACGGCTATGTGATCCCGGAGGAGAAGAAGCACCTCCCAGAGCCGAGCGATGAGAGGCAGCGACGGGGCAGCGACAAGCAGCATTGAGTTTCAGAGGTGAGAAATGGCACTGGCACCCCTGTGGATTACTTTTAGATGGGGTCCATCAATCGGTCCCTCACATCCACGGGCAAAAGATGGAACAGTAGTCTAAAGATGTCTAAAGTACAGTCTGTGAAGCCAGAGTAATTACTTTCTCTTTTTGTCTTCAAAGAAATGATGGCTTTGGATTCGACTTGGCAGGGTCCCTGAAGTTATAGGTGGACTTCAGTAAGGCACGTCAGACAAGAAATGAACTTGGGGCACTGACTTTATCGCCGCCCGACTCCCTGCCGCAAAGAGAGACCACCGCAACTGAACTGGCTGCCCGGCTGCCAGGTGTTGTCAGCAGGAGCTGTGTGCCGTCTTCGGATGCCACTGGGATGCAAGGGTTGTTTTAGCTGACTGGGGTCGGGCGGACAGCCTGCTGGGAAACGGCCACCAGTAGCAAGACGTCGGAATGTCGGGGGTGGACTAGCCATGACACACCCTCAGACCATCTCAGACCGCTGAAAGGTTTCCAAGCTTTTGCGATGTGCTCAGGTGATCTCAGCTTGGTGAACCATCATTCAAGCCTCGCTTTCTCACTCCATTTCACAAGCTCCACCACCCACAATTGACTCGGCGCCACGACCCTCAGAAGTGAGTGTCAGATGTCACGAATTGGTCAATTCCGCGTGGCCACGTCACGTGGTTGATCCCTGGATCGGTTGGCATTTGCACCCTTCCTTCGCCCCAAGGCAGTGCCGGCTACACTCCCAACGACTCCAGGGCCAAGCTCGTGGGCCACAGCGACGCCGAGTGCTGCAACGCCACCTGCGCCGCATTCACTTGTGAGGCACCTGCAATCGTTTCATTTGTTTTCCCCGTTCAATTTGTTCTAAAACATGGGACAACTCGGGTGCGCAGGCGAATTCGAAGGAGGAGTTCTGTATGCAATTTGTCCAAGTTCTGAAGTGGCCTTCGACGCGTTTGATACGTCCTGGTGAGCCATTTTTGAAGCATCTCTTCTGATAAGGGGTTCATTCAGAGATGTGCTCATTTCCTTCCCACCTCCCTTCAACATGGTTCCACGACCTCACAGGCCGCGGAGGGGTGGGTAGTCGACCCGGCCAAGTTCAAGGCGCGGTGCCGGAGAAAGCAGGTTGGGACGCCTGGTCTCTCCAAACTATGTTTCACAATTACCTGACTCGACGTGTCGTTTAAAGCTTATTACTCACTTCCATATCAAACATACGGTTGATGGGACAGAGTGCCCTCACGCTCTCTCATTTGCTGTAATTAATGTTGTTGGTCGGAAATGTGCAGTGGGGTTGAAAACAGTTAAATGACCCAAATCCTGCCCCACTTTGCACAAAACCCAGCACCAACACTAATTAGGGGGTGAGGGGGTTGATGTGGATGGACATGTTATTTCGATACATTGCATGCAGCGGTGCAAGATTTCGTCCACAAGTATCTCTACCTTTTTGCTGGTCGAGTCTGCAGTTTTGGGTTCATCCTTTCTTCTCGCAGGTGTGAGAGGCTTTTGGTGGGAGCACAGGGATCGAACACATTTGCACTTCGATGTACCTAGAGTCTAGATGATCTCCATTGTTTGTTTTGGGGGGCTCTCGTCCCTGGAAGTGCTCCATTTTTTGCACTTCTGGCCGCCATGTTCGACCCAAACCCGCATCGGAGCATCGTGACCCGAGCTGAAAGAGATCCAGCTTTGACCATGGACTCTCCCAGGTGCATTCGTGCGTAACTTCCTTTGTGCTTCACTCCGGAATCGCAACCAGATCTCTCAAGAGGTAAACTGGACAGGTCATGACGGTCATGAAAGAGAAGAGCTGGCATAATACAAACTATCAGTCACTATCAGTCAACCTGATGCCGAAGCGCCCATGTTCTTCGTTAAGCGTCAGGTGGTCGCCAGCGATGCACCCTCCTGCTGCCAACGGAGCTGTGCACACCACGAGTGCAGTGACCAGTGGGTGAAAACGGCGCCCCCAGAGAAGGTCGGAGCACACACCGGCGACAGTGGCACCGCCCTCTCGATCGGGTGGTGTAGACCCTACTGAACGGGAAGGTGTGAACATGTTTGCATCTTGTTTGCATTGCATCTGTTGATAGTTATCAGGTGTGTTCAGTGGCGAGAAGAATCATACATGATATATAGGTTCTGTGATGAGGATGCTGTTTGTGGCATGGTCAAAAAGCACAAGTGTGGGGAGCCATGGCTGTGGACCACAACGCCAACGGTTGATGGATGTTGATGGTGTCAGTGCTTGAGAGCGGCTGATACCTGCTGCCTCCAGTGATGAAGTACGTTGTAAATCGTTCTGCTTCGGTGATGGTGACCTGTCAGGCTGGCGACAGTGATGCAGAATGCTGTGCCAAGACCCTTGGAGAAAAAACGGTGCGCCAACAACTGTGCGCTGGGCTCTGCAGTCGGGGCCCATTGAGACCCAAAAAGGGACGGTTTGCGGTGGGATTGCTTCACCGGGCCAACTCATGGTCAAGTTGCACAGGCCTAAAGACAGTGCACAGAATTTGATACCTGGAAGCTATTTCAGGCTTGGGCACAGAAGTAGCCTCAGGGATCTCTGGTACTGAGGGCCACGCTCAAAATCATCCCATTGCACAATATCAGAAGAATCCCTACTGTGGAATGCGCTAGCTCAAGATTCCAAATTGAAAGGTCAGAAAGACCTGCAGCCAGTTCTGCGAGACTCACTCTCCATAAGCTGCCCCTTACCCGGTGTCAGAACATTGATCACCATTGTCTCAAGCTTAAAAAACTAGAAGCATCTTCCCAACCATCATCTGTGAATTTTCCGAGAATCAGCAGCTTTTGATTCAATTGACTTCAACCAGTTCGTGTGTGGACCTCTCTCCCTCCGATCTCTGACATGTCTCCACCCACCCAGGACCTGTGCGCTTCATGCCTGCGATGCTTCGCTCGGCTGGGTGCCCAACACGGCCGTGGCCGCCGTGCCCGGCCCCGACGACGCGAGCTGTTGCAGCCCCACGTGCCGCCGCCACGACTGCAGCGAGGGCTGGGCCGCTTGGAGTTCAACGGCAGGATCCCTGCAGCGAAGTGATTCCACCACTTCGAAAACCATTGAGACAAAAAACGGTGTGTAACAGGAACATTGTCATCCAACAGGCCATGCGTACCACTTCAATTGTTGAATTCTAGGATGTGTCCGAATTAGGCTTGACAAAGAAATGACAAAAGAGTATAAAGACATGATGCGTGTAATGCCTATATGGTAGCCAAGCACTATGAGCATTTTACATTTTATATAGAGTTGTCAGTTTTCAGACGTCCTCACCCCGAAGCCTCCTTGCGGGACTGGTTTTGAGCTTGGCCAGGCAACCAAGCGAAAGGCCCAGGTGTAAAAATTGTCTGCAAAAACGTGTTGTTCTGACGCGCGCGCCGTCGCATTTAATGGTGATGTAGTGGTGATGTACCTTTTCGGCCAGGACATCGTGACGTGCAATCAACATGTCCCAAACTTTTAAGACATTCCAACACTGCAACCTGCAAAGCAGTCTGAATAATATTCTCTCACCCAAGACGATCCGACCAGACACTACAACTTGTACAACCCAAGAGCGCCCCCCTTGGATGACAAATAGCCTGCAGGTGGAGGGCGATCTGACCAGCACCGGCATGGCGGGACCTTCATGTCCAAGCTCGAAAAAACTAAGGGAAAACCATATCCTGGAGTGGGGAAATTGAACCGATTTATGATTTTTACTTTATATTATATATATACCTGGAAAGGCGTATGAACACTTTTTTTGTGCGAAGGCCGTATTTGGACAGAATTTATCGTATGGACATTTTAATTAAACGAATTAACGTATTTAGCCGTATGACAGAAAAACAATACCGTACAATCAACATTTTACCGACAAAAACCCAAACAATTATATTGATAAAACCCAATCAAACCCAATATTCGGAGGAATTCCAGAAAAATTGTCCATTTGACAAAAAAGGCCGGATGCACGGATTTTTTGTGCGAACGTGTTTGAACAAACAAATTGCACATTTGGATTCCCTGGTATATGTTGTTTTATATTTGTGCTTGTCAATGCCTCCAAAAACACCAAGTGCTTGGAGTGACGTGGCTTGGAGTGTCATGTTCCGGACCGTTGATACCGTCGATCGTCACTGATGGATGGGCCCAGGTGATCGATGCAAGTAAGTTCGAAGAGGAGCTCGGGGAGTTGGTGCAGAAGGTCCTTTCTGGCGAACCCGGTAAACCATCGCAAATGGGTTCAATCCTTTTTTGTCTTCGAAGGGAAGTATACAGATACATACATAATACAGACAGAACATGACCTATAAATGACTTTTATATAAATACACATAACCAACCAAAGATTATCAATCGCTATATATATATATATGCATGTTGATTGGTATATACATTTTCCGGGTCACTTTGAGGGGTCAGTGATCGCGAGCTATACATGTTTAGATGGACAGTAATCATTGCCTGTTGATATATGGCCTTTCTTTGATTACGGTGTCTCTTCACTGAAACATGCCTCCGGCAATCATGTTGTGCCGCTTGACGATCCTTTGTGACGCTTCGCCGCTGACGGAGGAAAAGTCCAGCGACGAGGATTGCTGCCTGGCCACGTGCAGCCTTCACCAGTGCGAAGCATCCAACGGCTGGGCAGAGGAGTGTGGACGGTGCGTGTGCGGTCAGTGGAGATGTGACAGCGGAGAACTTGAAGTTGCATTCATTTTGCGTGATCCCATTGTTTCATTTATGGTTTCTATGTGTGTTTTAGGGTCGCAGTAACCAATGATCCGGGCCATTTCTTTTGTGGAGGGCACGCGCGTTATTGTGCTGCAAACTGGCTGCGAACTTCTATAAGGAAACCTGGGCAAGCCTCAGCTGCAGAAAACTGCTTTAAGCATTTAGTGACCGAATTCCATCAAAAAGAATGCAGATTTAGACACCTTCAACGACGCGAATAGTATCACCGCAAGAGTGTTTTGTCCCGTCCCCTTTCCGAATTTCAAGATTTTGCGTTTTTCTTGAATACAATCTGTTGGATCCATCTGGATCCATCTATCCAGCTCGTGGAAGCGTACCATCGCCTCGCCGCCTCGCCCTCCCGAGTCCAGGACCCTGCGAGAAAGAACCGTGTGGGCCAGAGCAACGCCGAGTGCTGCCAGCCGACCTGTAGCCGCCATGAGTGTCCGGAAGGCCTGGCTGGTGGCCGAAAGGTGGGGAAAGGCCTGGTTGGCCAGTCCCACTTGGGGATTGGGGGGGGGTAGAAGGGGAGGGGGTTGGTGGGGATTTCAACCTGAGCAGTGTTGAGTCAAACTGTTCCTTGGCTTCACATGGCTTCAGCAAGCAAGTGTTTCTTGGCTCATGGTGAACTGAGGATTGCAACGGGCTCACCCGTTCCGAACAGGGGGTAGATAGGAAGATGGGTTTCGAAAGATGTGAACCTTTGAGGTTGTTTTCTGGCCTTTCGAAAGAGAAAGGAATCCACTCCAAGACTCCAGGTCCTTACTGTGAGGCCTTGGAATCCACGATGCCAAACCACAAGAATCACGAGTATACCGAGCATTGCCGAGCATGGCACACTTCTTTCACAAGCAGCAGCGCAGAAGCAGAGAACGACTCCTGAAACACATGCATCAAACTGCTTGTCGCTTCCACGTTTCGTAACGTCTGAGTATATCTTGGGTTTGTCCCCTTTATAGTACATTAAGTATATAAGAGTCGGTCAACAATTATGACTCTTTTGGAGATGCCGGCCACTGGGTCCAGGGAATGGATGGGCATGGAATTGAATATACCCAAAATTTGCAACATGTTTCACCCCCGCTCCCACCCCCTGCTGCTCCACAGGTTGGGCCTCCGATCCTCTGAAGGCTCGGGTGGCCGGCGACAGCGATGAGGAATGCTGTGTGAAGACCTGCGCACTGCATAGCTGCAGCGACACCTGCCAGTGATCAGGAGGAGTTTGGGTTTTGGGATGTAGTTGTGAACCAGGAAATAAAGATGCGTTGCTTGTGTTTTTTGTATGTTTCCAAGTCAGGGTGGTTTACCCAGCCGGACTTCATCGGGGAAAACAATGGCTTTGGGGTTCATGGTTCAGCAGAATTACAGCTGTTTTGTTGAGCTTCAGTGGTTTTCCACCATCAAGTTGGTTTTCGTGGTGCACAGGGCATTCACAGCTATGCCCCTTGGGTCCCTTGTACCGAGGCGGCCGACAGGCTCGCACCGAAGCCGAAGGCGGAGGTGTTGCTGGGGGAGACAGATGCCCAGTGCTGCGAACATGAAAACTGTCGGAAGTGGCCAGAGGCGACCGGGCGATGACCGGACGGTCTTGGTTCGGCGACCCGGGTCCCGGAGGGTCCGGGTTTGTTGCTTTTTTGTGGGTATCTCAGCAATACAAGCGAGCAGAGAAGGAGGGCGGTGCGTGTGGACACCCTGAAAAGGGTTTGAAGAAAGCACCCAGAGATTCACCACGAGGGGCTTTGCAAGTCAAGTCTGTTCCAGCGAGCTGAATACCTGTACGAATGACTAAAGATGTTCTTGTTGAGCTCTCGTGGGTATAGAATGATTGCCAATTTACATATGCCATTGTATGCGTGTTTAATACAAATTACAATTATAACAATAACAATATACAACAATATAATATATATATACTGCATGTGAGGGGGGTGTGTGTGTGTGTTTGCTTTGTTCTGCCTTTAGATGGTGTATAGCTGCTAGTTTTGTCTATATAAATGATTGTTCCAAACGTGACTCATGTTGAACGTGCCCGTGGCGTGTAAATATGTCCTGGTGGCCTCAATGGCAAATCTAAAGAAGAATGTCCAACTTTTTTGAGGGGTTTTGGTTCTCATGGGTGAGTTGGGTAAGGTCTTGAAGCATCAAGACTGTTCAACACAACATGTCAATCATCAGCGGGACTCGGCCAGAGTTTGGATGCGCTGCAGGCCTTGAAAGAAGCCCTTGACGGCTGCAATGCCACCAGCATTCACGATGACTGCCCCTTGGTTTGTATATATATATATATTGGTGGGGCTTGCGGAGCTGAGGAAAACCTCCTTGGGGTTTGCTGACGAAGCCCTCGAAGGAAGCCCTCGAAGGATTGAAGAGCTGGTGCTCCTTCTCGTTTGCCTGGACTTTTGTGGATCTGAAGATCGGAGTTAGTTTTGTCAAGATGCGCTTGTTGAACCAGTGCTTGAACCTCCTTCGGCTGAAGGAGGAGCAATCAACCAAATGGTCGGATGGTTCCCTTCTTGTGGACACACCTATGTTTCTTTGGTTTGCCTGAGGGGGTTCTCAGGAATGATCAGCTATAGAATCGAAGCTGAACTGCCGTGATTGTGCCAGCACAGGGTCCCAGACCACTGGCTTGTGCTGCAGGAACAGTTGACCGGGGCGGTGTTCAAAAGTTGTTCAACGGACCAAACGAGGACGTGAAGATGCGAGCAAGGCAGGTGAAACGGTTAAACTACATATGTAAGGGCAAATGACCAACGTAGAATAAGAATCTGAGAAAACAATCAATCACCTTGCCAAGGCAATATTTCTCAAACCAACAGTGCAGAAACACTTTATCAGTGAGGGTTCCAGATATAACCTCAGTAATGAGTTGAGCGATCATCAAGCTTCCATATGTATTTCGGACAATGACACTAAATAATGTTTCCTTATGTTTCCAACTGTACCGCACGCGCTGAGGCGAGCACATGTTCGAGAAGACCCCTCCCAATGAAGAAGGGCTTGTGAAGCTCAGCCGTTGTGGATACTTGTTCGTCTCCGGCGAAGTGCAACTTGGATTTTGTCAATCTCCGAGGAGAGGATTGCAAGAATCGTCACAGCCCCTTTACAGGAGCAACCAAGTAGGTCACCGAGTGAGAACCTTGTGTAGAGATCACAAGTGCACTTTGCAGCAGATGGTTTTCCAACACGTGGAACTTTGCGATGTTAGTGGCAAGCCCTGCGACACCCACCTACCCCGTCAGACAATCACCTTTAACTTTTGGGGAGGATAGGTTTCCCCACTGAACAAGACGATAATAATATGCCCTTATTGTCCAGGGAATCTGAGGGAGTTAACCCAAGACCCTAGTGTATGAGGTCAAAGACTAGGTTTTAAAGTTCTTCCCGCAGATGGCGCTCCCCCCCTTTGGAGCAGGAAATCTTGTAGCTGCCATTCAGGGACACCTCCAGCCGAGCAAAGCCGTGGTCTTTCTCAGCCTCAGGTACAGCTGCGGCGCGAGTGAGAAGGCCCACTTTTGTTCGCCCTAGGCGATCGAAAAGAGGATTGGCGGATTGGCAGCTGTGAGGCTCCAGAAGCCCACGAACTGGAGAGCCAACCACTTGGGGACGCGGAAGCCCAGATCAAAGTGGAGTCAGACGGATTTGCCCACCTGCACTGCCTGGAAGAATCATGGTTACGTGGCAAATGGCAAGGATTACCATGGTGCCATCCACTTGCATGATTCTTCCAGGAAGTGAACACTTCAAACATTTGCTATGGAAGTAGCATTCACCTTTGCAAACGCAAGGGGGTATGAGAGCAGATGTTCCCCTTCTTGTTTCATGCGGCTGGCAAAGCCAGGGTTGAGTTATGATCCAATAGCTTTCTGAGATGGTCATGTGAGTGCGTCGGCCGGACGGGCTTGAGATTGCATTCGTTTGCACTTTTTCAACCGGTGCAGGCATGCGGGAAAGCCTGGGCCAATGTCTGGGAGCCGTCCTAACCTAGCCCAGCAAATGTAAAGGCCGCGAGCTGTGACCTTGTGTAGACTCCTTATTCGTTTAACCCCCTTTGAAGAGGCATTTCAATTCAAAAGGATGGGTTTATTAATCAAGAGTCTACACTACCCCATGCCACTTCCAGTGCCCTTCCAACATTGTGCTAAGGCAGTCGGATCCTCAAGCTTGGCGGTGTTTGGTGTGGCGACCTGTGCCACGAAAAAGGGATGTGGAAGGTTCTTTTGGGGATGGGCACTCTTTTGGGGTTCAAAGTCCAGCTGCACATCTGTAACATCCAAGTAGCTAGGGTTCCTGGATCTATCAAGTTCTAGAATACTTTGCCCTGGTATGCGTTGGGGCATCATGACAACCAAGGGGATGTTGCAATTGACATTTGCCGAAGTAGGTGAAGAAAGCAACATCACAATCATGAAATGGAAACTGAGCAATCTTCAGAAAGAGCCGTGTGCTGCCACTGGCTTACGAAGCTGGGACATGGGGGAGAAAGCTGTGCAACGCTGCCGGGGTCCCCAGTCACGGATGTCGCTTTACATCGAATCCTGGCAATTTATTGAGTAGCAGTACCTGGTTTCAGGGGTGTCTCAATTGGAAAGATCTACCACTGAACCTGTGTGTGTAGGGAATATGAAAGAATCCATTAAGACAGGTACCATCGTGTTGTTATGTCATATTATGCCAAAGAACTGTATTAAAGGGAACAAACCTTGTGGCTGTCATGCTGCTGCGGAAATCATATATATATATTATATATACACCCGACTTGTCGCCTTCAAGTTGTCGTTGGTGTCTGATGGTGTCATTATACCCAAAGCGGAAGCAGTGATGGTCGTACTAGATAAAGGATGCCACCAATGCAACCAAGGGGTCTTCGATGGATGCGGGCCTGAACTATGATTTCTTTCCTCAACGGACTGGGCACTGCATCACGCAGACTTGAACAGATACAAAGCTCGATTGCATGGGGGTCTTTGATGAATGTGTTGTGTGTTATGTGGTATTATGTGGTTATTCTATGTATATAACTTTGAAGGCTTTGCCGGATTTTCTGACCCACTAGCTCAAGTCCCATTGGATGTTCACAAGACGTCACAAGTGGTGCATGGCCTTGGGCCTAGGCTGAACCAGGTCGGTCAAAGCGAGGAACGAGACCCTCCCAGCACCGGTTTCGATGAGGAGTCTGACACATCCATGGCCATGGCCGCCGTGCTGGCCGAACTAGCCACCCAGCAAGAGTGGATAGCCGCCTTCAAAAAAAAACCTTCTGTGGGGGATTGGCTTCCCCACTGAAATCCGACAGATGGAAAAAGGGTCACTGTTATTTTCCATCGAAACTGAGGTGGTGACCCCTTACCTCCTCTGAAAGCCCAATGCCGCATGCCACCATGTCATCCTCTCTCAATCTCTGCCAGCTTCTCGCCTGGAATCGCTGCCCTTCAAGGCCGGCAGCCATGGGGCAAAGCTTGCCCAAGCCAGTCATGTCCGTCGTTCTGGAAACAGACGTGCCTTGGACACCGCTCGGGGAGTGGCGGACGAAGGTGGGGACGATCCAAGGAGAAGGGGGGTTGTTAAAAAGATCCCTCTTGCGCATGTCCTAGCAGAGTCCTACCAAGGGGGATGGATGGGTTCCCTTCTTCTCAGACAAAAACTTGTTGGATCCTGTTAGCCATTGTTGGCCCTAGTGAATTGCTGTGAGCTGAGCGAGCTTTTGTATCGCTCTACACCGAATAGAATGTGACTTAGTTTGGCGGCTACAATGCTGCTGCCTTTTGAACTCTGCACATGCACTTCACCAAGTTTCTTCAGGGCCCTTGGTTTGGATACTACTCACAAATCATGAAGGGCTGAGCATGAAGATAGCTTTAGTGCCCGATGCAATCCGGCTTGATGACCTTCTAGACACAGGTCACCTTTGGCAGGAACGAGCCCAAGGACGGGAGCGGGTGCGTTAAGACTCAACGTTACTTCGTCTCACTCAGCCGTGTTTAGTGCGTCTCGGTTCAGCACCAGCAGGTTCTGCTGGCATTTGGCAGAAGATATGCCGATCAAATGCCTCTGTGTTTCAAACACAGGCTGTCAAATAGCTTCAATCAGGCAAACTGATCCGAAGGTGCCAAACTCAAAGACCCTGGGCAATACATATATATATATATGCATATTATATACGGCCCTTTTTTCTTATTGAACAACCCCCATCTAGTCAGACTGCATCACTCTCATCCAGCTCATTCTCCATCATCAGACCCCAATTGTCTCGCCGTCCGTCTCGAGGCCGGACCTTTGTTCCGCATGGGTTCTGCGGAGATGAATGGCTATCGCCCTTCCATGGAGGACACGATCCGCCAAACACGACACGAACGACCGGGCGCGGCTCAGCGCGGTAAGGTCTGCAGGTTTGTTCAGCACTTGGTATATGCTTCTTTGTGGCCATGCCTGACGAGAAGAGAAGGCTAGGATCTCAAAACAGACACGCCCCCCATTTCTTTTCAATGACCTGCATCCTCTAATTATACTTCCTGTTCCTTTCAGGTCATGTTCTAGTGAGTTCGTGGTAGTTTTATGATCGGAAATGGGGCTACATGGCCCATTGAAAGTGTAAGGTGTTTCCACCCAAGCCCTAAAAAGCTATACCAGACGACACTTGCGACTCGCATCCGACTGCAATTCAGAATTGAGAGAGAGAGAGAGCGGGAGGACAAATGTACTCGTATGAACCGCTACTTGCAAGTGGTGAGATAAGAGTTCTCACAGGTCTTCCATCGATTGTGGAGGTTTGTTTCAGTCCCACTCAGGGTCTGGTTCAAGCAGATTCATGTTATTCTTAGGTTCCAACATCTTTGGTTCCTATGTTGCTCCTGCAAATTTTACAAGCTCCTGATAAGGCGTCCGTCCCCTCATTTGCTTAAAAACTGGGTGCGCCCTTCTGCGACCCCCTTCATACTGGCTGTGCCCTTGGTCCATCAGCTAGGATGCGCATGTTGCTGTGATGCGGGGCGCTTAGATGATGGAGGATCACCTCGAATTGACCCACACGCAGGTCTTGACCACAAGAAGCTGAATGGTCCATGTTTTCTTACGACTTCCGTTACAATATGCCATTAGATAACTATGCTTTGGAGAAAATGGAATTATTTTAATTGGTGGCTCCAGCAAGATCGCACGCATGACATTCAATTCGTTGGGCTTACCGGGGGCGGCGTCCGTGCAGGGCTCTTCATGTGTGGTGACAAAAATTCTGAAACAATTTCTTTGACCTTGGAGGTCTTGTCAAACCTTGGTGTCAAACATAGTGACCCCAAGGATGTTAAACCCCACATTCACAATGTATTGGACATTGTTTTCATCAGTTTTATCTATTGATATCTATTGCGGGACCTTTCTACAGTAGAGGTCCAAGGAGTCCAAGGGCTCAACTAAGCCACGCAAAAAAATCATGCATGTGACCAGTCAACCCCGCAAAATCTTGGGGGCATTTATTTGAGCAAAGGGCATCGCTACGAACGGAGCAAGAGCGCTACTAGTGGCTCCTGGCCGTACTACCAGGAGCAAGAAGCTACTAGGAGTTAAGCTTATTTGTAGTTTCTCCTTGAGAGTTTCTCTTTGTTGAGTGGGACCCGGGAGTGCCAGGGAGTGGTCCGGAATCCGATGCTTTGTCGGGTGGATGACCAAAAGGCTTTGTGGAAATGAAACGATGGCTCGAAGAATTTCATCGTTTTCCATAGCCTTTCGAGACCATACATGAAAGGTTGGCCTGGCTTCATGTTCTAGAATGCTTAGTGCAGCAAAACGCATTGGGCCAGCAAACGCCCAGTAAATTCAATGTTAGTGGTTTGGGTATTGGCATTAAGTAGTCGTTCTTTCTATTTCTCTTGGAAGGTGAAGCTCTCCCTTTGGGGTGTTCACGATTGAGGGCTTCAGCCCCCAACCTGGTCGGACGGACTGATAGAAGGGTCCGTCCCTGTGACTCACGCCTGGTGTTTCCTAGATCCGGGGATCCCAAGGTTGATTAGAGATGGATTCAATTCGAAGGCCGGAGCTAAGAGCTACCTTTACTGTAGGTCTAGGCTAGGTGCTTTCAACATCTCCAAATCTCTTGGGGGAGGAGTTTGAATTCATCAACCGTCATCAACCGTCCACATTTCGCAGGATTCCTTGGGTTTCAGAGTAGATGGCACCAGAACCACAAGATGTTTTTTTTGGGGGGGGGGGAGATGGGGGTATAGGTACCTATAAACCAACATGTGCCAATCTACTCTCAATTCACCACAACCCCCCCAAATAGATAGAAAAGCACATTTCCACTAAAAATGTATTGGAAACCGTTTCTACCGTAACTATTTGGGGACCACTATATATCTGCTTGTACACTGCTCCATCTTCTGGGTGGAAATCGCATCCCCCCCAGCTACCTCACCCAGCGATGGCGTCAGGCGAGACTCCTGGGGTTCCTTGGAGCGGTAGCGGCGGGTGGGATGGGGTGTTGGACGCCCAAAGACTCCGACGGGAACGATGGCTTAGATGGCTTCGTTCTG